CCCCCCCCCCTCTCTCTCTCTCTCTCTCTCTCTCTCTCTCTCTCTCTCTCTCTCTCTCTCTCTCTCTCTCAACGGCATAGTATAAACACGAATAATCTTCTCAGTAGTGTTCCGCGTGGTAAGAAGTTTCGAGTGAGCTTCGCTCGACACGAATCGGAGAATCCCCACGCTCATCTTCGGCAGCATGACAGCACGTACCGAGAAAAAAAATATTGGACGTCTGTGACTGTAATTACACGGTGAAATGATTATAGTCGGCACAGAGCCACTTTTGTAATGGACGCTGCTACAGCTCGATTATCTCATATGCATATTGCTACTACTACTACTACTACTACTATTTTGTTTGAAGTACAACAAAAAGGGAAATATATAGCTGTCACCAAAGATGACTGTAATTTGCAGTGAGACTAAAGATTTTTCTCAGTGCAATGCACATGAAACCACCGTGTGTGTGTGCGTGTTATTGCATGCAGTCGGACAAAACTATCTCTTCTTATTTCACTTTCCGCGCTTTCACAGCGATTCATGAAAATTTCATTATAAGCGGCTCGTGTCGATCGACATGTTCTCGTCGAGACGGAGCGCGATTCGATTCCTTCACGAAATCCTGTTTCGCAGTGAGAGGAAAAATATTGCAATGGCCGATCGTTTCTGAAAATCGCTGCGAGGATCATGCGCGGAAAATGCCTGACCGTCGTTTCGCCTGGAATTCACTTCGGGCACGGGATTGATATTCCCAGGTGGTGAATCCGCGCAGGATGTGACAGTTTCACTTTGTTGACAACGTCGACGTCGCGCACATGTTAATTTCGCCAACGGAACTGTCCCATCTGTTTCCGTTTCCCGGCGAATGTGCTTAAGCGCTCGGCTAATTGGAAAGCGCTGCCGGCGGCGGTGTCGGCGCCGGCAACGTAGGAGGAGAGAGAACAGCCGCGACTTCATTGACGAGCGATTTGATTTATTTTGGGACGTTATCCGTCAGCTCGCCGAGTCCCATTGGCACGATTCCCTGCCCGCGCGCGAAAAGAGAGGGGATGTTACGATCAATGACCAGGGTCATAAAACTATTCCGACTCAAAACCAAAATTACCGCACCCAACGACACTCCGTCGAGAAGCGGCTCTCGCGTGTGTCGTAACTCGCGTCCTCAACGTTCGTCGTTCTGAACGTGCGCGGCTCGACAGTGTTCATCGACAGCTTCTTAGAATGTAATTTCCCGTAGGCACAACTAAAAGTCATTCAGTTTAGTGCTCGCCGAAAGGAGAAAAAAAGAAGGAATCCTATCGCGAGATTCGCTTTAAAGAAGTCCAGTAGTGCGATTCTGTAACTCGTTATTGCAGTTAACGACAGTCTTGTTATCGTTGCGCAGCTTTTCTACAATACGAAAAAGCTGCGCAACGATAACGAAACTATCGTTAACTGCAATAACAAGTTACAGAATCGCACTACTGGTCACTTCAATTCTGTAATATTTATTTTCTTTTGTACTTCCCGTGACTGCTATTTTTTCTTAATGTTCCTCTTATCCATATTTAGAAATCCTCTCGTATTTAATTTTTTCATTATTTCTAATATTAAAGACGATTTTTTATAAATTTTCCCCGTCAAACCTTGAGAATCCACTCAAGATTCATTGCAAATTGCGCTTCACCCGATCATCCTGCACTTCTTCCCAATATTTTTCCTTCCACTCAGTATTCCTATCAACCTCGTGAAGACCGGGAAGACGATCCGGAGAATCGTCTCGCGCAGTGACCGACTCACGCGTCTCCACGTAGAAAGGGAGAGTGAAAAGTTTTGGCATGCACGTCTTTCCGTAACGCGATCGGCCCTGGAAAGAGGCCGTTAATGAATCGATCGCGGATCGAGAACCCCCACCTTCCTTGAGGAACTTGTTTCTCAGGACTCCTCTTGATTAACAGCCCTGCCCGGAATGATTACAGCCGCGGAGCATTCCCCTCTGGATCTCTCGCTCTCTCTCTCTCTTCCACTCTTCTCCTTCCCACTCATCCTCCTCGTCTTCGTATTCTCCACCTCCACTTCTGCGTCTCTTCCTCCTTCTCCATCTCGTACTTCTCCTACCCTAGCGCATTTTCTACCATGGAGATGGTGTACACCGCTTTCGTGGAAAGCATTCTTCTCCCCTCTCCCCTTTGCGTTTCACGCGTTGTTCTCCGCGATTAACTGGCGTTTCGTTCTTCTTCTTTGCAGTCGATAGATCGGGAACCGGGCAGTCTGGAAGCTCGCCGAGGGTGACGCTCCGGCTCAACCAGGTGCGAGGCACGAGGGATGAGAAGAAAGGAGGGGGTGCTGCGAACTCCCGTCAGGGCGGCATGAGCGCACAGGTATACATACACATCGACAACCACGACGACAACCGGTCGTAGAACTTCGCTCTCTGTACTTCGCGATAGCGGCGAGCTTCGGTGTCGTACACCATCGTAGGACCGGTCCTGAGTTGTTTTGAAGGAGGAGGGCATACTAGGTGACGGCGGGACGCCATGCGTTCGAGATCTGCGTATCTTTTCGTTCCAGAGGGAGAAAAATATCGAGAGCGCGGTTCTGCTAGGCCGGGACTCGAACCCGGGTCTTTTGCTTGCCGGGCGACTATAAACCATTGAGCTACCTGACGCTCCACGCTCACAATACTCTCCGCGATCAGTTTGGAAGCTTTTTCACGCACGTTCCTTCACGGTTCCTCAGTACTGTTGATGTCACTGCCGGAATTACCGTGTATCATAACGTTTCACGACGATAAAAGTATAGGCATAGGATGATAACGAGAGGATGCACCGTGGCTTAGAAAGTGGTTATTGGAGATATTGGAATAAAGTTATCAAAGAACGCTTACTGTCGATTCGACAATTATAATCGTAGAAAATGTATATTATATTTATCAGCCTCTGGATATATTCCGATTGGTCTCAGGCGATCGTTGTGGAATATTACAGAATCTTAATGAGATGCAAATAGACGCTTATTCATCGCTCGTTTCTCTTTCCATTTATGTTGAAAAACTAAATTTACACATATATCAAACGCGACGTGTCCGTGTTACACAACAGCAGTGACCAGCAGTTATGATTGAACTTCGCGAACAGTCAGCAGCGTATAGATTGACGCGCTTTTACAATTACACTAATTACACTACGAATTGACAACACATCGCGACGAGAACAATTGACGAAAAGGAAAATAAAAGATTGGTACTCATCAGTGCTTGACTAATTTACACATCCAATCTTGACCAACATTTTCTATTGAACGACGCCCACAGGGTCAAGGTCAGATGGAGACTTCGTCGAAGACGCCGGCCAGCAGCGCGTCGTCGACAAGCGCGAATGCCGTTTCCGGCTCTGGCAATACGTCTGGCAACACGTCGACGTCGTCCGGCGACAGCGGTGACGTCTACGAGTTCAAGAGCTCAAAGGAACCGACACCGGTGAGGGGCGCGAGCTCGTCGCCGAATCCTAATCCGGACAAGGAGAAGGATGGCGGCAAGCCCTCGAGTGGAGCGCAAGGCAGCCAAGCAACTAGCGGTAGCAGTGGTAACACGTCTACCGCAGCTGGTGGTTCGTCTACATCCGTCGGCGAGACGGCGACGACATCGTTGACTACTGACGAGGCCGCTGCCGTCACCGCGTCGCCATCATCGAAACGATCCTTCGAGAGTGACACCGCAGACGAGCAGGACGAGGAGAACCGACGCAAGAAGCGAAAGGACTCCGAGAACGCGAAGGAGAACACGAAGACTAACACGACGGGAAGGCAAAGCACGGGTAGAAATGCTGCTGGTGTTAATGAGAAGGTAATGGAGACCGGAATTTCTTCTATTATTTCCTATTGTTTTTCCTATTATATCAATCTTATAATGTACGTATAATTTGCAGTGCGCCAAGTCGGGCAAGCAAGGATCCGGAACCGCGTCCGGCAAGGGAAATCAAAACGCGAGTTCCATCAGCGCGGATAGAAAGAGTCCTAATAGTTCGATGGCCAGCAGCCCGAAACCTTCGAGTACTCCTGGCTCAACGAGCACGAAGACCGGCACTTCAGCGTCGGCCGAGTCCGACGGCGAAGAGGATCGATCAAAGTGCTCGGACTCGAATTCTGCGCCGAAAGTACCGCCTCTGAAGATTGTTATTCCACAGAGTACTGCGTCCGAACAGGAACAGGGCAACAGGAACGGCAAGAATACGGCGAGCAGGAGTCATCAGTTGCCGTATGTAGTCGCCAGTTCGAACAGCAACGACTCTACAGATAAGGATCAGGGTCAATCAGCTAGTGGAACAACCAGTCCTACAGAGGGTGGCAATAGCGTGAAAACGGAGGACAAAAAGGACTTTAGTGGAGCTTTGCATGGGGAAGAAAGATCGACTCATCATCAGAGAGTTCTGAGAAGTTCGCATAGGTAAGAAAAAGATCTCCAAGATTGTGAATGGATAGTTATTTGTATGTTTGTACCGTGAACCAGATTCACAAAATACATTTAGGAAAAGAGAGAAAATGAAGGAAAGGAGAAATACATTCCCAATTTTTATTATATTTTCAATTATTTATATGAAATTATTCACATTGTAGAACTGGAAATGGCGGTAACGGTAATGCAACGCCAAAGGAAGCTACGCCTTCGTCGGGCAATGGAAGTTACTCCAACTCGTCACCTTTACCCGTTAACACTTCTACAGATCGTTCAAATAATTCGTCGCCGCAGCAAACGAGACATCACTCACCGACGCCAGAGACGACCGGGTCTGACGCTGGTAAATCCAGTTCGTCGGAGTCCACGAACACGGGAAACGTCTCGAAGTCCAGCGCAACCGTAGAGAAGACGGAGAAGAACGCAGATACTCCTGGAAAGAATCAGAAGGACAGCGGTATAGAGGTCTCGGATAACTCTTCGAGCAACACCCCGTCGAACGCGGCGTCTAACGCGAGCACGTCGGCGCCGCCTGTGGAGCTTCATCCCAGGAAGAGAAAGATGAAGCCTAGCAAGGAAGCGCAGCAGGCTGCGGCTACCGCCGCCGCGAATGAAGCAGCCGAGGCTACCAGCACGGGACCAGAAGTTCATCCGCACGATCAACCCATTACTAATTGTTTTCAGTTGTTTCTTAATATTAGAAAACAGGTAAAGTATCACGCAAATCGCTAGTTTTAACGTAATTATATATTTGAAAATTACGAAACTTATGCAATACAGTTTTAACTATCAGTTTTAAATATTTGCAATTAGCCTCATTGTTTAGGATTAATTCATTGTTTTAATTATCATTCTGTTCAGATTGTGTCAATATGAAACTAACATTCCCAATGTCTCTTATAGATCGAAAGAAGACGGAAGGGATTGTTCCCAGTTCAACCGAAACCTCCTCAAGGCTTCAAGGATTATCTAATGAATCGCTGTACATATGTGTTAGCTGGAAACGCAAAAGAGCCGAATTATAATCTACCTGTTAATCTCCACGGAGCTATGAAAGATCTGTTTGTTGAGCAAGAAAAAGAACGATATCATCTGAGAATGCAACACGTAGTCGAAAAAGAGAAATTGGTCCTGTCGGTGGAACAAGAAATTCTTCGAGTACATGGTAGAGCAGCCAGAGCACTTGCCAATCAGTCTCTTCCCTTCTCTGTCTGCACGATTCTCAAAGACGAAGAGGTGTACAATGTCATTACCCCCGAACAAGAAGAGAAAGATAGGAACGCGAGGAGCAGGTACAACGGGAGATTATTTTTGAGTTGGCTTCAGGACGTGGACGACAAATGGGAAAAGATCAAGGTAAAGAGTTAAATGTGAAATAACAACGAACATGCAATATATAGATTTCAGATAAAGAAATTATCGCGAGCGTTACTCTGAATCAATTTTAGATTTATTGCAATTCTCTGCGTCGGTGTTTAAAGAAGCGCGATGCACTAAATTCACGTGTCGTTATTCTTCATTCCTGTTAGCGATAGTACCAACTTTACACTCACAATTACCGGTAAATTTCAGGAGGGTATGGTAATGAGACATCATAACGAGGCGGAGTCGCTGCACGCCGTTCAGCTAATGCATTGGGAATGGAAATTGAAGGAGGTGGGACTGTGCGAATCCAAGGTGACTCCTCAGATAGACGACGGTCACGTTCCGATAGTGCACGTATCAGACGACTTCGATTTGCTACCAGCTTAGTGTACAACATCGGTACATGTGTCCTGGTATCATAGCCAGCTTTTTTCTGTCTTCGGAACTCCGAGGACGATGGCTTTAATCTGTGATCTCTTTATCGATGTATGCACTGCTCCTATGTCGTTACAGATTCACATTACAAACTGAATTACAAACTGAACTGCGACACAGTGAATTCCGAAAGTGCATATTGTATGGTAATTTAAACTTGATCATTATGTTAAGATTCCGCTTCGTTCGAGTCAACAAACTTTGGTAACATCAGGTTTTCGACATGTCAAATCTGTTTTAGACGATCTATAACGAGGATTTAGAATTAAATTGTGTATTATTTTCTAAATTGTCCATGTGACAAAATTATTTGTCGATGCGTGTATGCGCAATATTTGCAAATGTTACATTTACAAATATATCTTTCAGAACAATGATAGAATATTAATATCTGTGAAATTTATATCTGTTTATGTTGCAAATTGCAAATAGATCATCTAAAATACACTTTTGTGTGTGTGTGTGTGTGTGTGTGTGTGTCTGTAACAAAGGAAAGATAAAAGACATTGTGAGGCTATTTTCGAAATGATTGGAAGTTTTTATTAGAAGAGACACGGTAGCGATTTAATATTTTACAATGTAATCTAACGTGGATTACACTATAACCGGAAATGAAGAGAACACTTCTTTCTTAATAATGCTTTATTATTTTGACAATCGAGAAGATTGATTGGTCGTATACGTGCGGTTTCCACAGGAGAAAAGGGCAAGTTGAGATATTGACAAAATCACAATGACGGCGTGCACTTATTTATGACGATTCCTAATGACTTTACTAAATTTTCTAAATAATATAATAATGAAATGAGATAGTGACGTCGAGGAGTATCTCAAATTAGCTAAATCGAACTGAAACCATATCGCAACCTCGCATTTGTTTGAGTATCCTTCGGATAATTTTTTTATTTTTCTTGACTTGGATCCTTAATCCAATTGTGGAAACCGAGTGTCATTGAAGAAGTGTATCCTTGATTTTTTGGTATAATTTACATTTAGTAAGTTCTTACGTTCTGAATATTCATTATAATTCTCATACAATAGTTGTGCAAAGCAAGTAAAATCATGAATGATTATTTGATGTTTGTTACTATTATTATTGGCAAGAGAGGAGGCAGCCTAGAATGTAGTTTGTTGCTGCACTGACAAATTCGCAGAAGAGAGAAAGAGAGTTCATACATCTTGCATCGTAACAATCTTAGTACTGTATCTCTCAGTACACACGATTTCCATATAGCATTACAATGTAAATATTTTGTAATTAATGATTTGTAGGAAGGAAAAAAATATTCAACGATGTATAAAGTTTTTCATGTAAGAATCGATAAATAAAAAACATTTTTAAATAACAACCTTCTCATCTATATTAATATAACAACTTTATCTCAATACTTTTTATTTGTCTTTACATTCTGCATCTATCCTGGTTGTCTGATCAGTACTGTTATTATTATTATTACTTAATTTAAAATCTACTGGCTTATCGTATCCCATTATTCTAATATAGTGACTAGGGTCATAGAAAAATTTTTGCTCTAAAAACAGAGGAGTACCCTTTATGATACAATTTGTGAACATACCATTTACATCCGGAACTACTACATCTTCTGGTGTAAATTCAAGCTAAAATATAATTTATCATTAAAGTGAATACATCCATGTGTGATTAGAACAATATTGTAACAAAATATATATAAATACCTTTTTCTTTACAACAAATAAATTGTAGGTGTTTGCAATGTACTTGTCTTCACTTGGATCATAATATATATGTGTTACATATTTTTTAGTCACCAAATTCAATAATATTGGAGTAGACACAGCAATAAAGCTAATGAGTGCAAATATTCCAATAACAGCTTCCGTATTACCATTCTCCACAGCTTTCATATAAAAAAATGGTTGAAACAATAAGCCACCTATAGATGTAATTAGAGAAAAGATCTTGAGGCTCCTAATATTTTTAGTTAGATTTCCATAGTAAATTTCACTTATTCGGTTAGGAGCTTTCTCGTTAACTTTCGTTGAGAAGCATCTCAGGTTATAAACCACAGGAAGTTGCTACAAGATTGTAAATTTTAATTAACAGAAAGCTATTAGAAAATTCTTACCATACTATATGTTATTGAATATGACTAGTTCATTTTTGTATAGCTGCAACAAATAACAATAAAATTTATTCTAACCTTAGGGCTACCACCATTATTACATACAACATAAGTTAGAGTACGTTCCAAATTCTTAAAGTCTTTGTAGAAGAATCTTTTTCGAGTAGATACATAAGCTCGCAGAATTGACGTCATATCTAAGAGTATGTCTCTGTAAATAATGTATCTTGTAATTTTTGTAATATTACAATACAATGATACTAGTATCACTGTTATGCAAATTTTACATTTCCTGCAAAGCATGCAGAAGAACATTGACAGCTGACACATACCTTACATCAGCTGAGATTTTATTTAATCAAAGTTTATATCAAATCTGGATATATACGGACTTCTTAATAATACTTTTTCTATAAAAATGTGAGAAAAACAGAATATTAACCTATTACCTTGCCAATTATCTTAACTGTTCTAGCCTATCTTAAATCTATCACTATCTCGATTTTTTTTTTTTTTTTTATTGAGAGAAATATATACAGCCATTAAGTACTAGCTTATCTGGCTAAAGCCTCTGTACATTCTTTCTATTCCTTACCAGTTACTTGTGTTCCTGTCTTATCACTAAGCATATGTATAAGTATGTCTTTACAGTCTTGTCTCACTACCTCGATTGGCCGATTGGTATGGTGGCGGCTCGTAGCGGAGACTTCGGAACTAATTTTGTAAAAATAAGGGTAAGGTCCGTTTAGCGCTGCAAACATAAGATGTAGTAAAAAGGAATCCATTATTTTTCCAATAGATGGCTTTAGTAATGTGTATCTCGCGTTGTATAAGTGCGATCGGTTTACGCTAGATGGCGTTAGAAAGATAAGATTTCGTACTAAAAAAACTTCTCAGACAGTTTTGTGATTGTTTGACGTTAGTATTGTTTGAGCGCGTCAAAGATGGATACCAGCAAAAAGAAAATACGTTATATTTTACAGTTTTTCTTCGATAAAGGCGAAAACGCAAACCAGGCGGCTGAAAATGTGAATAGTATTTATGGTCCTGATACTGTAACAGTCAATCACGTGCAATTTTGGTTTCGTCGATTCCGTTCCGGTAATTTTGATGTCAAAGTCCGTCGAGTCCGACCGTAAGCATGTAAGCACTGTTTCGATTGCCCAGGAGCTAAACATTGCACAAAAAATCGTTTGGAACCACTTGAATAACGCTGGATACAAAAAGAAGCTCGATGTATGGATGCCACACGAGTTAACGCAAAAAAACCTCATGGGCCGAATTTCCATCTGCGAATCGCTGCTGAATCGCAACAAAATCGACCCATTTCTGCAGCGGATAGTGACTGGTGATGAAAAATCACTTACGACAACGTCAAGCGAAAACGGTCGTGGTCGAAACGCGGTGGCCGGCGCAAACGGTGGCCAAGCCAGGATTGACAGTCAGAAAGGCTTTGCTGTGTGTTTGGTGGGATTGGCAGGGAATCATCCACTATGAGCTGCTCCCCTACGGCCAAACTCTTAATTCGGACCTGTACTGTCAACAATTGGACTGTCTGAAGGAATCAATCGCCCAGAAGCGGCCAGCTTTGGCCAATAGGAGAGGAATTGTGTTCCATCAGGACAACGCCAGGCCACACACATCGATAGTGACTCGCCAGAAGCTCCGGGAGCTTGGTTGGGAGGTTCTTATGCATCCACCTTATAGTCCGGACCTGGCACCAAGTGATTACCACCTGTTCCTGTCTATGGCGAATGATTTTGCTGGTGAAAAATTCGCCTCAAGAGAAGCTTGTGAAAATCGACTGTCCCAGTTTTTTTGCCAATAGACGGGTTTTTATGAGAGAGGCATAACGGAATTACCTTCAAAATGGCAACAAGTTATCGAACAAAACGGTGCATATTTGAACTAAATCGGATCATTCTAACTATGCTAAATAAAGCCTTCAATTTCATGCAAAAATAATGGATTTCTTTTTACTACACCTTATACTTCAGAGCGACAGATGGACCAATCATGTTGTTTCTTTTGACGCTTCGAAACATTTGGTAATTAATTCCGAAGTCTCTGCTACAAGCCGCCACCGTACCGATCGACCAATCGAGGTAGTGATAGATTTAAATGAAGAATAGAACAATTGAGATAATAGGCAAGATGGATTATAACTTTGGTCAAAATAATGTTATCGAGACTGTTCAAAAAGCACTTTAAAGCTTGAAATCTCTACTTTTCAGTCACACTAAATCTATAACGTTGCTATTATTTATTGCTGAAAAATATTGAGTTAAATGAATAATGGTGACCGTTCAGTTGCCAACCTTATTTTTCAGTTGTTCTTACATCAAAACCTTATTTATTTATAAAAATGCAATATGCGTCTTAAAAAAAGAGCTTTCAAAAAATAATGTCAGACGATTATTTTAATTCAAAGGTATACTAGAGTAATAAAAATATACAAAATGTAATACTATCCAATTTAATCAGCTTTTTAGAACTTCCTCCTTAAGTGTTCTTATACATATATTTTATGTATAATCTTGAGTGTATCTAAGACATCTTAGATATCGTATGACGGAAATTTAGCCATATGCGGTTGCTGCATGTCTATTAAGAAGTAAATAACACCAGCAAGACCTAAAAACATAATCAATAAATGTATTAATATACATGTATTAATATACATTATATAAAATATTAATGAAATAATGCAAATACTTCTCAAATTGTTAATAAACTTACCCTCAAACAAAGAGAAAGGTCTATCAGGAGCTCGACATTGATGTGTTCCATAATGGAAGCACCATTCGGCAAATTTGCAGGCTCGATACAAATACTTGATGTCCTAACATTATTAAAACGAATATTGTTGTTAAACGATACAAATTGATCAATAAACAATACACAATTATAAAAAAATCTCTATTATACTAATCACTTGATATTTATAGTTTCAGGATACTCTAAAATTTCATATATCATGACGATTAAAGTCTCAGATATGAACATACATTTAATATCTATTCAAGGTGCAAACCGAACCTGTGTATGTTGAAATAGATGAAGGAAGGCGTAAGCATTTCCAGAAACACCATGGCAGATGCTGTATCCTTTGGTTAGCAATCCTCTTTGCCATATTACCTCTGCACATCGCGCTGCAGTGTCGAGAAATGTATTGTCCTCGAACATCTATCAACAGCGATGCATAAGTAATTTTGGCAGTTTCATTAATTTGAAATTGTAATTATCAGTGCGGTTTAATTACCTTATGAGCTAAACAAAACAATGCTGACATTCCAGGCGCTCCATGACACCAATGCACCAGTTTGTCAGAATGACTCTCCATAGAAGAAGGGAAATTCCCAGAAGGGAATTGTAATCTCTGAAGATAGTACAATGATGGTTTTACATAACTGTCAATCTGTACCTGCGTCAGATATTGTCGCGCCTAAAAAGAGAAAGGAACAAATAATTAAATGAGCAGAATAAAAACAATAACTTATTCATTAAACATATCAATTTCTTAATGTAGTGTACCTGCAGTAATAAATACAATATGCCTGCCAATCCATGAGCAGCGCCAAGATATTCTGTTTGATGCCAAGAATACATCAGAGGCGACTGACAATGATTTGCTGTAGCATACAATCTCCCGGAATTAATTATAGAAGCAACGACCTACGAAAAATTTTAATACTAGCAAATTTTAATACTAGCAATTTTTTCTTTAAAGACGAAGTAATGTATGTCTGTATATAGAAATTTATTTTTCTCTCTCTTTGAATAACACCTGCTTGATGATGTCAGGTTCTATAGGAGATGGTGATATATTCGCATTTATGTAGAGTAAACCACTTAGATATCCAGCTCTTCCATACAGCAATTCATCTGGCATATCACTACTGCTAAAATCACTCCTTTTTTCTATAACATAAGTAGCCAAGGATTTCAACCTAAAAATTTAATAATATAATTATTATTCTGTAAAATGATACATTTAAAAATAATATTATCTAAAATAAATTTAAAAGTATTATTTAGATGACTACAAGATCCCCTGATATCACTTTTGATGATAAATCTATTAAATCAAGACAGAAACGAATATTTTAAAGTATTAAAATACAAAGAATTTATGTACTTAAGAATCAATTGCTTTGCTTCCTCTTCTTTGCGTTGCGAATGTAATATTACTGCTGTTAACGCCAAAGGTCCTACAACTCCAGTCAAAAATGTAATCTCATGCCTGCTTTTAAATTTTGTAACACATCTTTCTAATAAATCTGTTGCTTTCTGCAGAGAAAGATGACTAAATTGAAGTGGCATCTAATTTTACACCAGAAAGGAATTTGCCAGATTTGATATATACTTTGATATATGTAGCATCATTAAAAGACTTTCCGAAATGATAAAATGTATATGCAATCCCTGCTGATCCAGTGTATACAGAATAATCGTCTCTGCTAAGCCATACTCTTTCATTTTCTTCCAAGATCTCCATCAGTCTTTTAGTTTCTGTAGTCAGTATTGATTTAAAAGCATCATGAATCTGAAGAGCAATATAATTGTCTTTCCTAGTCAAATTCCTCTTATCAAATAAATCTAGATATCAATCACAAAATTGTTGAATAGCAAATTTATATGAAAGTAAATCATACCATACTGCCATCGTTTACAACTATGTTAAGGTTACCAGAACTGGCATAGTCATCAAACTGATTTCTATAGTATCTATTAGAATCCATAACGGCCCAATTTCTGTAACATGTATTGCTTTCCAATATAGTAAAATTACAGAGGTAATAAACTAAGGGTTCTGAAAACATATATGAGAAAGGTGACAAAAAGATCACAACGTAGTGCTAGTAAGATAATTCTCACCACAATTAGTATAAAAACATACACTGCTAAATATACATCAGTCAGGTCGTAAAACTATTCACTCTGAAACGTTTCATAGAATACAATCACAATGAAACAATAACAAAGGTGTATTTGTAACGCATCTTAGTGTGTGCATGGGACTAGAATCTAAATTTAAAAGTTAATTTTTAATCGAGGGTAGTGGGGGATGCAGGACTGTGCGAGATAGTACTTAAATCGACGCGTCCAGGCGTGTAATCGTTTCATAGAACTTGTAATTATCTCGTGCAACCGAAAAATATATACGCCGAATATATGCACTTGATTCCGGTATTGATTTTTTCCAGTATGGCGGGCCGAACGACAACAGCGGTTTCGAGATCAACTGTTGCGTGAAAACGATTACTCGAGCCAACGCACTCTCAAGCCTTAAAATCGACTGCTTTGCAGTAATAATTATTTATACTAACTTGAACGCGCGCGGACTTGAGTTGATTTTTATTATTGTGTTTAGCCGTGTCCACCAAGTCTTTGTCACAGTTCTGCGTAGACTCATCACCTATCTGAATGTGTGCACGAAAGCAGTAACCAATCAACATCGCTCGGAAAGCGACGATATGTCTGCGAGATATCTCGAATGTTTTTTCAAATTTCCAGATTGAATTGACGCGCGCGCATCATTATTTATTTCAGCACACAAGCATGAGAAATATAGGTTATTAATTAGAAGTTATTCATTTTTATATTCTCTTTCTATAAACGCTAGTTTTTTACTTAATTCTTTCGAATGTTTTTCATATTAGATTATTTATGTGCTCGCTTGTATCTCTTTAGGATATTACGGAGGCGAAGCAAGTATTCATCGCGGTTTGTTATCATGGGACTTGGATCAACTTTATTAATCAAATGGCATAATTATCCTTCAGACGGAAACTCGAGCAACCAAGACTGTAATTTATTAATTTGCTGCTGTACTGCTGCGAAACTAGTTCCACCGGCAGTTTTGTACTGCTCGACGCTACGATTAAAATCCCAAATGCATGACACGCTGTTCTCGAACGCCTCGCTAAAAAGTTGTTTCTTGACATTAGACTTTCTCCTTTAAATGCTTCTAACTCTGTTATCTTCAAACATATTTACTGTACCTTATCGTTTTTAATTCTTGCAGAGTTAATTCCTGCAACAATACTCCTTTTGATTCAGCCAATGCGACAGCCTTTCCAGCCAGATGATGACTCTCTCTAAATGGTATCTGAATTGAAAATATAAATGCTGTATTCTGATAATTAGTTGATCAAATTAATATCACACTACAATAAGAAAATGATTCAAGTTTGAGAATACTCACACCTTTCCTAACAAGATAATACGCCATGTCGGTCGCAAGCATGTCAGATGTCAAAGAATTCTTACAACTATTCTTGTTTACTTTCAGAGTGGCCAGTGCTTTCTCGACGATGTGAAACATCTGATATAACGTGTCATACGTATGAAACAACGTTTCCTTGTCTTCCTGAAGATCTTTGTTGTATGTCGATGGAATTCCCTTCAGCGTTGTCATGAAACCAATACACTAAAATTGCGATTAAACCATTGAAGGTAAACAGCACTGATCAAAGATGCATCTATAACTTTTGCGATCTGTCTTCAAGCATGGAATCGAAATTGAACACATTTGAACGAACCTTTCCTAATATAGTGCCAGTCTTTCCGCGTAATAATTCCATGCAATCTGGATTACGTTTCTGGGGCATCAGACTGCTGCCGGTGGAGTATTTATCAGCGAATTGAACAAAATCAAATTCCCGAGTGCTGTAAATAATCAAGTCTTCGCAGAAACGACTCAAATGCACCGACGATAACGATGACCAAAATAGAAATTCAGCTGGAAGAAGGCAGAGAACGAAATGAAAATCAAAGAAAACTTAAACATCTTGAGTAATGGATAATACAACTGACGATGTAATTGATCTCTTGCAAAAAAAACTTTTGATTTTTGCGATACGTGCCAACAAAGTCACGATCCCCAACGGCGTGCATGCTATTCTCAGTGATCTCGTCGAAGCCAAGTTCCGCAGCCAGAGATCGGCGATCGATCGAAAACGGATTTCCCGCTATCGCGCCGCTCCCAAGTGGCATGATATTCACACGTTTGCGCACCTCCAGCAGCCTTTCAAAATCTTGTTTCGCATACCAGGCGTAGCTATGAAATTTAAAAAAAATGATAATAAAATCGGCGTGAACAATAAACGCAAAAGCGTAAAATCTCTTAACGATAAGACGTGTAAAGAGATTGTGCTCTACCTGAGTAACCATTGACTCCATCTTACAGGTTGTGCGCGTTGCATATGCGTGTATCCGGCCATAAGCACGTCCATGTCCTGTTCCGCTCGAATTACAAGAACCTGTATTTGCAGAAATTATGCATTATCTTTGAAAAGGAACAAATAGAATATCGAATCAAATAGAAATGAAGCTATGAGAGAAGCTATCGCTTATCAGTACACGATTTCAAGTGTAATGTAAACTATACTCTTGGTACTACCTCGATGAATCTCTTCAATCTAAACAGAAGTTTGTCGATGGATCTTCGAAGCCACAGTTTGGTATCGGTCACAGTCTGATCGTTGCGACTCCTTCCGGTATGTAGTTTCTTCGCCACGTCACCGATTAACTCCTGCATATTTTTCAGACTTCGATTACACTTCATTAATTGTAATGTCAGAGAAAAACGATAGATTTATCGTTGTGGACGTACCGAAAGCCTTCGTTCATTGGCACTATGTATGTCCTCATCCTCCTGTTTTATGATGAATTTATCGTTCTCCCACTCGCTTTGCACCTAATTAAAGATCTAACTCTATTATACGATTTTTACAACGCGTAATTACCGGAATATTAGTGCAGAAATTTTTTACAGAATTACATTGCGAGATATTAAGGAATATAGCTTGATACCTGTTTCAAAGCTATGCATATAGCTTGCGTTTCTTCCTGCGAGAGAAGTTTCACATCAAAGAGCGCGTGAGCGTAAGCTATGCTTCCCTGAAGACATACGAAGAAGAGATTAGCTAGATAACCCATATACTTGGGTACTTTTACGATGATACTCACCTGTATATCTTCTGCATACATTCGCTTATCGACGTCGATCGATGCGTTTAAACCGTGAAAGTCAGGGTCAACATCTTCGGCAAATCGGCCGCCCCACAGCTTTTGGCAGGTCTTTGTTTCATCGTGCATGTAAAACCAAGTAAGTTAACAATTCATTTTTCGAACACCGCACTTATATTCTGAGGATAAATATACAGCGAAATTTTTTATCGAATCATTCTTCAAAGGAACTTATTGCGCTGAGAAAGAGCAGCATCTCTTGAGGAGATGCTGCTACTCCCTTCCTTCTCTATCAAGAACTATATGGCTACAGGAAAATGAAAGGAACGTATTCAAAAGAGAAATATACGAAATGAGAATATCGAATTTCATTTTTCCAGAGTCGAATTCTGATTTACCCGCGATACAGATCCGTCCATCATTATTATCGCAGCATCACTGATGTCCGTAGCCATGTATGAGAAGATGACGTTGCGGATTACGAAATATTGCTTATCCGTGAAAGAAAAAGGAAAAAACAATGTCGTTATCATTTGAGATAACGCTAGCATGCGTAAGTTATACTGTTCATCGTTCGTCGATTAATAAATTGACAAAGAAATTTATAACATGTATTTATGTTCCAAGCAATGTTTCCAGATCTCCTTTGTAAGTGACGCACACTTTACAATAAGCACTGATTTCTCACATACAAATATCAATTAATCAGTTAATTAAACTGAGGAGTGGTAAATGTGTTTGCCATAAAACGCAGATAGCATGTTCCTTTTTTCCTTCTTCATTGTGAACAAATAGCTTGCGGTTTTCTTGTTCCGGCCACAATGTGATATTAATGTAGGCCACGATAAAAGTTTATCATTATTATTTCAGGGTAACCGTTTCGGAATGATTCACTTCGGATTGTGCAGCGGAATACCTTCACCGACGTCAGTCAAACTGCTGTACATTACACGAGCCGCATAAGTATTATGTTAACGTGAGCTTCGCAGAAAATGTATGGATTGCGTTTCGGCGATCCAGCAAAATTCTCTCACGTAAGTTCTTTTGTTTTTTGTCTTCCGTCTCTCCGTTTTTTGTCATCATAATATATCGCTGAAATTAAAAGGCAAGTCGAGTACATTATTAATAGAACCGTCTAATATTAGGTATAATTAAATAACGTTGGAATAAACATTCAAATATTTTTTGGAAATGCATTATAATTGAATCGACGAAATTAGCATTCCAGTGAGATTTTCTTTGCAATTTAAATGTGAAATTTTCGTTTCTAAACCATCAAATACGGAAATGATGTGTTTTGTTTTTAAAAAACTATAAGACGGTATTATAACTCATTATAGTTAAATATCGACCAAATTAAACTCGTAAAATTTCTAATTGCACCGATTCAATTTTAATTCACTCGCCCATTGCGAAAAGTTTTTCACGATATTTGAATATTTGACATTATGCAACCATTCCTTGTTTATCATATATACAGTATCTCATAATTTTTTCTATTGATTCATACAGATTGTAACAAATATCTTGAAATTTTTGAGCCACCGTCTTTGTGTAAAACGATTTCAACATCAGTTTTACCAACATGTAGTTTATACATAAATATAAAAGTATAATAGTCAAACCAAGTAACTCCTATGTTTTTTATAACAAAAAAATTGTTTTATCGAGCATCGATCGTTTGTTTCTCGCGTTTTGAATATCTCTGCCAATTCGAAATGCTAATTCTCCAATTCTAAAACTTCAATTCTAAACTGAAACAACTCCTTAACTCCTGGTCCCTCGCATTGTCTATCTCTTTTTAATGACGTCAGAAGCGAGAAAATGCATGCTAAAAATTTTTACGAAATACATTAAAATAAAAATATATATCCATAAAGTAACACTTGCAATCGCGTAAACAAATTTGTAAGATATTCCGTGCATTTTCCTTTTTTGTTCCAACAATCAACAATTTATTGTAAATTAATCTGAATAGAAATAGGCGAAGAAGTAGGTTAAGAAGATGAATTGTATGTCATGTTAATTTACGACAAATTATTGATTGTTAGAACAAAAGAGGAGTGCACGGAGTATCTTACAAATTTGTTTAATCGATTGCAAGTATTACTTTATGGATATATATTTTTATTTTAACGTATTTCGCAAGAATTTTTAGCATGCATTTTCTCGCTTCTGACGTCATAAAAAAAGAGGTAGACAATGCGGGGGGCCAGGAGCCTTAAAATCATACAATTATCAACGTGAACGTTGACGAAAATAAAATGAAACAGAAATTATATATGCAAAATCGTATAACAATAAATCCTCTCTCTTTGAATTCTCAATCAAATTCGTCACTGATTTTATCGCTATTTATCTCTATCACACTTATCTATATCTTTTCCCCACTTCTGCGGTTGGGAAAGAATCATATGTTGGAAGAATCGTACTCAATAGTATGTATTTTACTGATCTGGTGTCACCAGTGACGGGTGTCATATCGATGCACGAAGAGTCGTGGAAGTGAAGGAAGAAGAGATCTCGATAGAAGGATGGCTGAATCGTCCGAATCTGTCAAACTAGAGGTACTCCAAAACACTGTGGTGAATCCGGACAAGTCCGCGTCCGTCGATATGGAAACATCAAAGCACGATGCAGTGAAGACTGCGGAAGAATCCTCGTCCGCCGAAGTGGAAGCGGTTGAGGATGTTGTGGTGAAGAACATAGCATCCACGGACACGACGGACAAAAAGGCTAAACAGGAGAATAGCTTCGCTGCCAAGAAGACTGTCGCACAGGGTATGATGGACGTCGCGCTCATAACAGCTAACGCGAATCAATTGAGGTACCTGTTTGAATATCAGCGTGGTAGTTCGATGTTCTACTTCATCGTGGTCTTGATTTCCATCAGTCTGTTGTTACAGGTAACACAATATCGCGGATACGTTGCGCGACGCAGCGCCTGTAGTTGTACAACAGTTGCAATACGTAGCATTATAAGACGAAGCTTATTTTTGATACGATACGAATTAAGTTAGAATTTCTTTTTGTTCCTTTCTCTTTTCTTTCATTATAATGTAAAGGGCTATCTCTTCGATATATCTTTACGTTACATTTACAATAAATTACAATTACGGCAGAAGAAGAGTCCGTGACTTCCGTTAATTGATATCAACAATTAATTAGTAAGTGTCTAGAGAAGCACAAGTCGAGTGGAAGTAACTGTCATGATTTCTTTTAGGTCATCGTTGGCGTTAGTTTGATCTTCAAAGGCCGATTTGACTTGAAAGGCAAGTCGAAGTCCCGCAAAGCTCAGATGATCAACAATTATGTTGTAGCAGCAGTTTTTCTAATCACGATCATCAATGTATTCATAGCTGCATTTAGTATATCTGCTCCTACCACACAACCGCTTTAAGTTATATCTACGATAGCCAAAACGAAAATGCTCCGCGAACGATATTATAATTACGTTTACACTTCTGTTTTTAATATTAATAATAATTCTCTATATAATAACGATAAAAAGTATGATACTCGTACAAAGAATATAAATATAGAATTTCTAATGACTGATCTATATAAAGTAAATTAAAATGACAGAAGCGTCAGCGATTTTACAACTTATTATAAATATGTTAGTAAATAATTACATATTATTTTTATCTCCATGTATAATGTGTATGCATAGCGGCGTTAGTAAGTTATTTTATTTAAAATTTAGACGACTGTGCCATTTCGCTGTCTGTAAGAGAATACACGATTAAAAAGTATGGATAATTTCGCGACACTATCCATACTTGGATCTTATATTTCAATAAATAAAATCTGTGCGTGATGCTAAGATTTCGTTTATTGTATAATATAACATAATATAATGTAACACGAGCGACACGGATTGCGATTCATTATCACATCGTTCACATTTGTTTTGGAAGTAAATTCATAACAATATGCGTAAAATAAGTTTTTCACTGCACGAAAACATAGCTGATAAACTTTAAAACAGATAATTCGATCGTCATATAAAATTGTGCAATCATCACGATTAACCCTTTCAGTCGCGGATCAGTTTCTTTCTCTTAGAATTTCATATCTATCTACTCCAATAACGAACGAGATAAAGTTGATTTTCCAGAAATTATTTTAAGGAAGACAATGCGTTCGAAATACAATGATAAGTCACAAGAAACATATATCGTACAAATATATGAAAGGGTTAACGTCAGGTAAGTTAACTGTATAATATATAATAAGATTGAAAATATTGATTATAAATAATTTTTAATTTATGTTGATTGATGCTAATCTCACACACATCCTCAAAAAAATAATAGAAACTACAAAAAAAAGAAAATGCGTTCTGGCATCTGTAAAATTGATATGTCTCAGTGTTTCAGTGATAACTATGACATTTAATCAGACAATAACTAACACAAAAAATGCGATATAAATCTTAGATAACGATAAACGTTAACAGTAGTGTGCGCAATACTGCTATTTCGTTTTGCAGTGTATTACAAGTCTACCATGTCATTGCTTACATCATTAGCAAAAATATTTCTTTGTTTTTTAGTAGGATCTATCAAATAGAATCTATGTGCATGCAAATATTCTCAGCATATGGCTTAAACTAATTTTCAATTTATATATATATATATGTGTGTGTATGTGTGTTTGTATAGGTGTAAAAGTTAATTATTAAATAAATAATAATATAAACATTTCTTTTTTAACATATGTTTAATGTTATTTGCATAACTCTATATAACAAGTTTAATTTTAAACGACAATGGCTCTGTTAAAGTTCTGAGTTAAACTCGTTAGAAGCGGTTTCATCAACGTCCATTACCTTTAATCCGATTTTCCATTCTTTTACTCTTTTTTGTTTTTTAATATAGTGTGAACAGAGAAAAACAGAATTGAATAACTACGGTTAATGCTAATCGTCGTTGATGAAACTAACTTTCATTCGTTAATCATCACGAAATCATCTAGATATCTTACGCTATATCTTCGTTTTTAGCACGATGCTATTTACTGCTATTTATTGCGATTTCTGGAAATAATTTTAATTCGATATCAAATAAAAATGGAAGTTACCGTTTGACACGTATGTAACGCGTTCTATATATTGTTATATATATATGGTATATTATAAATTTTTTTAGTTTTCCTTGAACGACCTATAATTATTCTAATTATTCTAGAAAATATAGGATGCCACTTAAATAATATGCATTAATTTTAATGGAAATATTCTTTTTTCAAATTTGATGTAGAATAAATATAATTTCGAGATGAACGGAACGCGCTGTGTATGAAATTACGTTATGAAGGACTGTTAATACTTAGGCCCAATTTGCAGTTGAATTGTTTGAACAACTTAAACCTGATATTTTTCTTAGCGAAATCGCGACTGAGTATTGTGTACATTACTTGCTAAGAAATACCGATAATAAATTGTCCTTCAACATTAAGTCAAGTATATATAATGCAGTCATTAAGAAATTGTTGAATCGCATACACAAAATGTATATTTCTTGCATCTTCAAATGCACTATTACTCACCTCGTACATGCGCAATTTCATAAAAATTTCTTTTTAATTTTATAGTCTCATTAAGAACTTACTCAACAACAAACGCGAATTTAAATATCTTGCTATTTTATTATTGTTACAAATAACGAGTAGTATAAATTCTTTTGTTATTTGAATATAGTAGTAGTGACAAATTAGGTCTGCTAATTTGTGTAAATCAAATACACATTGGTATACCAGTCAAAAAATGTAAATAGAGAAAGGAGAATATTGAAATCTAGTTTACATATTATGTAATATTTTTGTGTATATAGAATATAATAAAATATAATAATTAATAATATATTTTTTCTTGTGACTAGGATTTCTCCATAGCGGCAAAAGTATATTCTTGTGCCTCGCATTGTTCCTTCGACAACTTCTTTTTGTCTCGTACTTCGGTTTTTACATGTAGCTATAAAGCACAAGTATTCAAAAATAACTTAAAATCATTAATCGCATATCCAGTAATTATCTGACAATTGAAATAATTGTTACATAAGCAATATCCAACCAAACAATTGGTTAATAATTTCTCCAAAACAACTGGGCACACATTCATAAATTGAATACTGAATATTCAAGATTACGAATCCTGATTTTCTCTCAGCCTTAAGCACTGGTAATCGTCACATTCACATAGCTTGATATTATTATTGTAAACGTGACAAGTAGCACTTTTAGCGACTTAACCGATCAATGCCGATATCGGATATATATCGATTAGATCAACACGCATTTAGATGATATCGACCTACTTTCATTGCTCATCTACACGTACCTGTAGATTTTGCAGAGAAACGTACCAAAAAGAAACAAAGATATTCATATTTTGTTAGATATTGAGGAACATTGTCAATAACTTTTACAATGTTTATCTAAAATTAATTCAACTCCATTTGCATATCTATTACCACGGCCGGCATTGTAAAGTGAACATTATTTAGCTCCCTAATCTAAATGTCACAACTCGCATATGAAAGTTCAACCTTCCATGTATGTATTCATTGACGCATGAGGATAATTAATTTGAGAATAAAATGTAAAATAGCTAAAAAGATACATTCATATTTATTACCACATATTTATAATGTTCCTCTTTTATTCAAATGTAGATAATACGGACAAGGCAAACCAGGGCAAAATCTTGAATACTAGTTCTATTCGTCTCTGTAAAAAAACAAAGACGATCTTATAAAAGTACTCCTCTCGATAACGTTACGCTCTATATACTACGTATCGATAACTTTCTCTTTGAAAAATATAAAACAGGCTAAATTAAATTTGCCCTTACCTACCCTGTCCATGTGCAATTCTTTTATTTTCAATGATATACCTAAGTGGCTCCTTTTAAATACTTTTCTCTGTAAATTTTCACTCATCTTTGGATATTAAAATTCATGATCATTTACATTACACGTTTTATAGTGGCTAGACCGTTAATGTCTTCATCGATAATACATTTATCACAGTAGTATGTTATTGTAGCCTTTTAGTTATATTTTCATCTGAAACATCGTCGTGTGCCTCTATTAATTACGGAGAATAAATATGATAAAGATGTGTAACAGTTCTTTGTCAGACTAAGTCATGCAATCGAAACTTGTCAACTAACCCGGGCTTAGTCGTCCCACTCGTCTTCATCACTGGTATCACTAGTTGATTCCTCACTTTCACTGTGGATTGCACGAGATCGTTCAGCCAGAGCTCTGGATAACGCGTCGGCTAGGCCACCACGCGGTGTAGGTGCTGTGTTCGATTTCACCTCGTTCGGAACAGGCCTCAATTCAATGCCCTCGCGTATCTGTCGTAGTAAATCGCTTCTTGAATCCTCGACCGGTGCCGGTTTCGTCTCGGTCTTATTAACTTTCTGTAAAATGCAAGTTATAGACTAAGTAAAAGTTATAGACTAAGTAAAAAAATACTCGGTATATAAAAAAAGTAATTTTTAATAATAGTAAAAAATTAAGGATTTGGATGGATTTGGAGGTAAATAAATGGAAGGGAACACAAAGAGAGAGAAAGAGAGATTTAGCACACATCTAAAGCACAAAGTGAGAAAAAAATCGATTCCCACAACAAAGCGCTTTCATGTTGATACGTACCCTCAAAGTTGTGCCGCTTCTAATAGATTCCATGAGCATTGGCCTGAGATCGGCGACCGAATTCTCGTTGTTGTTATTAGTAGCGTTCGTGTTAATAGTAGTGTCGATGTTACTCAGATCCGGCAAAGGTGGTGGCGGCGGCGGCGCGGGAACGTTAGAATTGTTTCTCGCTAGTGGAGCCGGTGGTGGTGGAGGTGGAGGCGGAGGCAGGGTTGGTGCCGAGGTTATAGTGGGTGGAGGTGGTCTTGATGGTAATGTTCTGTGCACTAGCGGAGCAGTGGACGAGGCACTCGGGGGTGCACTCGGAGGCAGGCTAGGAGGCACACTTGGTGATGCGGTAAGACGATTCGGAGGTAAAGGCGGAGCGCTACGCGTTTGATGCTGAAAAAACAAGACGTTTTTTATTCAAATTACAGGAGAAATCTAAAGAAGAATATATTACAAAGTTGGTGATTAAAGCTTCTGATCCCACTACTGTAAAAACCTGGATTGATGTCATAAGCAAGAAACTCATGGCAAAAATTCTTGTATGTCATTTTCAAGTAAAAAAGTATTTATAAAAGAACGCTTACAATTAACGTGACATGAAACCTTTCTCTTTAGCCTATCATTCTTCATGATTTTGTCACATTTTAAAATTATTTATTGACTGTTAAGAGAAAAGGATGGTTTTTAAAGAATTTTACAAGTAAAATAGCTCAAGTAATTTGAAGTATTCTTTCAAAATATTGTATTTGAAAAGTATGCAAGAATTTTGCTACTTCTTGATGTTCTTACTTCCGTTCTTGACGTCATCAATCTAGAATTCCAAAGCAGTGAGACTAGAAACTTTAATGAAACCGAGAGATGCGACTCACAGGTATCGTACGTGCTGGAACAGGTGGGGGATATTCCTGTCTTTGCGGCAATGCGGGTGGTTGATTGTTACTCTTGGCATTGGCCAACGGTCGAATATCCTCCTGCACTGCACTCATACCTCCGTTTCTCTCGATGAAGTCGTAGATGAATTTGCGAGTACCCTTGTCCTGGAGTTCGTCCGCCGACACGCCGGCGTTATCGAAGAACTGTTGCAATTGCGGGTCCACGGAATCCAATTCCAGACCTTTGTTATTTACATTCCATCCTAAGTGCGCCACGTGTCTGCATACACAGAAAAATATCATTCTATTGCTGAGAAAAGAATTATATATACACAGTTAATTTTTCTTCTTTTAAATAATAGTTATCTTCAATAAAATCTCTTAAAAAAAAAAAAATATATATATATATATATATATATATATATATATATATCACAAATTTGAGAAAAGTTATCTATTATTGTATACTCAAAGAAAAATTTATCCTCTTTACTTCTTATTCTTTCTTCCGATAAAACTTCACCAAAAAAGAAGTTGGCTTGAGTCTATATGTTAAGCAAACCGGATTCTTGTTTTAATATTCTTAATTTAAATGATAATCTTTAGGATTCAGAATGTATTTTGAATAAACTCAATGCTTATGACAAATTTATGTGACAAATGCATAAATTTATAAAATATTTAAAACAAGTAACATTTTGAGTGCTGTATGCATTTTTGTGTGTGCAGATTAGACTCAACGTTATACTCGCGCGTCGATGTGTGCTCGAGTAACGGATACGATAAAAATGCGAAGATAAAACTTAAATCCACACCTGAAATTGGAAGGAAGGCTGATATCGTCCTTGGTTAACTTGCGTTTGAGATCCTGCTCACTCTTTTTCTTCTTCGTTTTGTACATCGAGCTGCTCGAGGCGCTTCGATTAACACCGACCGTGTTGGGCGCGCCGTTCAGCAAGTTAGTCGAGGAGCCGGATGTGACGGTGAAGGGTAACAGGCTACTTTGATTTTTCCAAGGAAAAGTGCTGCTCGGCTGCGTCTCCTTCGCTCTCCTCTCTTGCCTTCTCTGACGTTTGGCATTTAATTTGCCAAGAAGTATGTTTCTACAACATGACAGGAAATTCTCCTTATCCAACATATTTTTTGATCGGCCCGATTCTGCCGTAGCGAGACATTTGTTCTATCGGCATACCTTAATGTAATAGCCTCGGTCTCACTCGCAAAATTAAACGCGGCCATACAATCCTCTGCCTCAAATGTATGAAAATATGACATTGGTGCTTTATAGTCCATCGAATTGTAGACTTCATGTTCCCACAACATTGCTTTCCTTTGCAAGCAATACAGTCGCAAAAAGAAACTGCGTCTTGGATTGTCTCTTATTAGAGTTATAATACCTGTGCTCTTCTTAACCCAGTCCCTGTGCAAGGGAGGCTCAGTCAAATATAATTGTATAACACCAGCCGCTAAACACTAAAACAGAGAAGTGAACAAATATTTGCATGAGATAGCATTTCAAGTTCCTATCATCAGAACAATATGAAAAACAAGCCTGATTACGATTATAGAAGTGCTTATCTCTGATAAAATCTTATAACGGTATTGTTTTTTCTTTCATTCTTTCCAATAAATAATATATATATACAACAATATGTAGAAAAATATGAAAAACAAACCTGATTACAATTACACAAGTGCTTATCTCTGATAAAATCTCATAATGGTATTGTTTTTTCTTTCATTCTTTCCAATATGTACTTATATAACACAAAATAAGAAAGATTTGCAGTTATACTATTCTGTTCAATTATTTAATTCCAATATATTAATAATTATTTAGCAGTGTAGTTGATTGTGATAAACAATTTTGGTAAATTATATATAACTGCAAATACAAGGCTTAAACATTGAAGAATATGCTGTGATATGAATGTGTAGTATTTGAATTACACACAAAAACAATGAATCTCCACAGATTAATTTATTATATGAATTGCAAACTGAATAACTGCACCATATATTTGATCATAATTATAGAAAAGATTGGAGCTCTCACAGTTTACTCTTTATTACTTCGTGATATTTCTCTCGATTTCGCATTTTTATCATGTCTAATCGAAGTATAAAAGTTATACTTTCGAACTAAATTCTATCGAAAAGGAACATATCTAGATACAAAACATACGTTTCCGCTTGAAACAATCATCGATTCTATCACCATCATAGACATTCGTCACCAAGAATGTACATAGATTATCAGTAAGATAATATCGTTCTGACACATACTAAATTGGAACAAAACTCGGGCGGATACTTCGAGCATTGCTCACGGAATCGTTAGCCAATACGTTCGGTGTAGGTCAATGCCGAGACGCTACCGATCGTCATCGTCGCCGTTGATGACGATCGCGCGAGAAGAGAGGCGGACGAGAGACCCCTCACCTGGCATCGGTTCCCTATCAATTGGAAGACCTGCTCGTTCTCTTCCGCTTTCAAGAGGATCGTGCCCCTGTGCTTGTCCGTATTGCCCGACTTCATGTTGTCGCACGATGAGGAGGTTAGGTTGCCGTACGTTCAGGTCAGCTATCGTCCAGAATACGAGGCCGCTCCTCTTTACATACCTAACGCGTTCCCATCGTCATCGTCGTCATCATCATCACCATCATCGCCGTGTCACTGCATGGGCACGTCGTCGCGACCCGATCCGTATCGCGTGTGTCCGTGTGCGCTCCCCGTGTGCGTATATGCGTGCGTGCGTCGCGTAATCGCGTGCACGCGTCACACACGACGAGACCCCCGGCGAGAGACGAAGAAAGGAGCAATCGAGGCCCCTCCGAAAACGGATGCCAGCACACACAAAAGCCACTTCCGACCAGCAACCACAGCAATCGGCAAGAGTGTTTCAGCCAAGACTACAGTCGTCGCGTGGACAAACCCAACGGAGAAACCCGATTCGAGATAACGATGACATTTCCTATCTATCCGGTCCGACGTTCCGCGTTTCCGCGTTTCTCCGTCCGACTTGAATCGCCATTGCGAGCCATTGGACGGCGAGTCGACAATCGATACCTAACGATAGATGGACGTCGATTGTTAATCTCCGTCGGTGATCTTAGAGACAGCCGGAATATTTCAATTCGTTAATTGATATTAAAAAATTACTTTGTTCCTGCCTCTGAGCGCTCAAAGACGGTGCGTCGTACTCCGGGCTCGACGACTGCGTGTAATATACACGCGCGACGAGTATCGATATCACACGCCCCTATATCGCGGGCGTATCGATGATGCGGGAGTATCGAGAAGTAATCTCCCGGCGCTCCGTTCGCAGCGTATGTCGCGAACGCGAATGAAACGCAGAGCGCGTTCGAGCCAGCAGCAGCAACAGCAGCAGCAGATGCGATATCAACGGCGGTGATCGGTATCGTTTCACCTTCGCGCACGCGAAAACTGCTTCGTTGACAATATTATTGCGACAGTGATAATATCACGGTGATATCGTGGCGGCGGCAGCGACGACGACGACAACAACAACAACAACGACGACGACGACGACGACGACGACAACGACGACGACGACGACGACGACAGTGGCGGCGGCGGCGAAGGTGGCGGCGGCGGCGGCGACGGTGACAGTGGTGAAGGCGGCGGTGACTTTGCGCGTGTGTTTACCGCCCCTGTGGTGTATCGCGCGGCTGAGAACCTTCCCGGCCTCCTCTCGCGATTGTTCTCCGGTGATCGCGAGGATAGACGAGCCGTGTTTATCGCGGAAAAACGATGTCAGGATACCGCAAGGTGAACTATTACGAGCTGTGCAGACTGTGTACCACCAGCGAGGGTAACAAGATGAATATATTTCGCGACGAAGGCCGCAGACGTCAGTTACAGACGAAAATACAGACATATCTGCCGGTACAGGTGAGCATTTCCCGGGGCAACACAAGAGCATCCTCGACGCGAATAATCCCGAGACAGCGGCCGGTCGACCGGCCGCTCGGTCGGTCAATTGGTTGGTTGATGTGCGGTTCTTGACGTACGATAACCTCTATTTTGTCAATACATGTCGCGATTTCCTTCCGGGACATTGTAGCGAGCTAACACGGCACTGATTGAATGGATATAACTGGAGATTATGTATTTGAAGAAAATAGAAACACAGGAAGAAGAAAGGGAATAAAGAAATGGTTATTTATCTTAGATTAAGGGGATAAAAAGAGTAGTGTCAAATAACTGCAAATATTCTCGGAGAAGGCAAAGACACAATGAGGAAACCAGCAAAATTAAAAAAAAAAAGAGAAAAATACAACATGTTGCAAACAAAAGTCCGAGTTAGACTCGAGAATTTTGCGATGTATGTTTTGACAGATTTGTATCATTTAAGACGCTATCCAACCCAAGCTTCGTTTGATACAGCGAAATCAGTTTTGGCCAAGAGTTGGCAAGAAACAACGGCGTAATTATATAATTAACCTTTAATCGAACGACTTGTTTCGGTTGCGTGACAGTACAATTAGTTTCCGCGAATTTCTGCTCGTAATAAGAAGTACGTATTGTCGCGTGTTTACCGTAGCATGATTACCCTCGTTTGTTCATGCACCATAGAAAAAAATGCTTAAAATTCATAAGAAGTATAATTGTATAATAAATCATAATTTATTGCATATTTATTTTGTCGCCTGTTGAAAGCAGCACTACATAGTGGGAAGAGCTCACCAGTTTGTGGAAATAATATAAAACTGCAATTTTGCCTTTCCCAGAGAAAGCAGATTAGACAAATAAAGTTAACTACTTAAACATTGAACACAGATAATTGACATAAGTTTTTATTTTACTTTAGTTATATATTACAGATATATATTTTTAAAATATTTCACACAGACATTCTGATTTACATAAATATGTTACCAAGAAAGAAATCTTTGTTAAGTTTAAATTTTTCCAGTTTTAAATTTCCAATTTGTTTTTTATGTTTCTAATTAATATATATCGTAAGATATAGTATAAACTATAATTTGATAGTATTTATATTAACTTCAAGGTTATGGAGGAGGACTCATTACCAAAAATTGTATGCCACGAATGTGTCAAGAAACTGGAGAACTTCATTGAATTCCGGGAAATCGTGGTTAACGCAGAAAGTATGCTGGAATCCTATTTTACCTCACTGCGTTTCTCCGAGGACTTTCTGAAGGAAGGAAAAGTGTATGTGAAGAATACTGAGAAGGAAAGGCCACCCACACCTCATGAGGATGAGATTTTAAAGTCAATGGAAAAAGTGCCAACACCAGTAGGAAGTCAAGTAATAAATAATGAGCAACATATACAACATCAGCAAGGTGTTGTAGTTGGCAATATAAGTGCTCCTAATATACAAATCGTTGGTGGACTTCCAACCAGAATCCAGCAGTACAAATGTGCTATACAGGTTTGTAATGAATAAGCAGCATTTTTAGTGTTAAATGAATTAAATATGCATTATATATATCATAAATGTATCATAATCAAGTAGCTTATTTGCACTGAAAGTAACAAGATATTTTTGGCTTTAGATACAACCAGGTACTATGGCAGCAGCTGTCATTGAACCTACAGCAGAGACTCATTACAGTTACCAGCAACAAACGTCTCAAGTATCACCACAGCAATCAAACGAAGCACAAAATCAAATTAGCAATCAGCAAAACTCATCTCCTACGATTCAGCAGCAAACACAGAACCAAATACAAAATCAAATAAATCAACAAGTGCAATCTCAGAGACCAATTTCCCAACAGTTGAACCAGTCAGCTCAGTTAAACCAACCAGCTCAGTTGACCCAGCCAGCTCAGTTGACCCAGCCAGCTCAGTTGACCCAGCCAGCTCAGTTGACCCAGCCAGCTCAGTTGACCCAGCCAGCTCAGTTGACCCAGCCAGCTCAGTTGACCCAGCCAGCTCAGTTGACCCAGCCAGCTCAGTTGACCCAGCCAGCTCAGTTGACCCAGCCAGCTCAGTTGACCCAGCCAGCTCAGTTGACCCAGCCAGCTCAGTTGACCCAGCCAGCTCAGTTGACCCAGCCAGCTCAGTTGACCCAGCCAGCTCAGTTGACCCAGCCAGCTCAGTTGACCCAGCCAGCTCAGTTGACCCAGCCAGCTCAGTTGACCCAGCCAGCTCAGTTGACCCAGCCAGCTCAGTTGACCCAGCCAGCTCAGTTGACCCAGCCAGCTCAGTTGACCCAGCCAGCTCAGTTGACCCAGCCAGCTCAGTTGACCCAGCCAGCTCAGTTGACCCAGCCAGCTCAGTTGACCCAGCCAGCTCAGTTGACCCAGCCAGCTCAGTTGACCCAGCCAGCTCAGTTGACCCAGCCAGCTCAGTTGACCCAGCCAGCTCAGTTGACCCAGCCAACTCAGTTGACCCAGCCAGCTCAGTTGACCCAGCCAGCTCAGTTGACCCAACCAGCTCAGTTGACCCAACCAGCTCAGTTGACCCAACCAGCTCAGTTGACCCAGCCAGCTCAGTTGACCCAGCCAACTCAGTTGACTCAACAGCAGAATCAAAGTCAAGTTAGTCAACAGCAGGGCCAGTCACAAATATCGCAGCAGCTCCAACAGCTGCAAAGGCAGCAGCATGAATTTGAGAAGCAGCACAGGCAACTTCAGCAACTTGATAAACAGCAGGTGCAAATTGCAACGCAGCAAGAATTTCCAGTGAAACAAGAGACACCTGTACATCAAAACAATAATGTAGTTCTTAAAACTGAAGCAGATATGGAACCGACTCAACAAATTATACAAAAAATACAATCTGATGCCCAGAAGGATGAGTCTCCTAATCAAAATGTACAAACTTACACGGCGGTACAAACGGCGCCGGAGGTATTTTTAAACTTGAATTCAATGACTCCAACAGTTCGAGACGAAGAGAAAGAATATAAAGAGTTTTCAAAGACTCCACCGGAAGATGGTTTATCTCGTAACTCGATTGAACAGATCAGAGAATTTCTGCGACTTAGGACACACACAGGACCAGATATGACACCTATAATTGTGAATACTCAAACAATTGCACAGATTGGAAAGAGCGTCTGTCGCGATTGTGGTAAAAGTTTCCCTTCAAATCAAATCAATAATCACAGCTGCAACGTTGAAACGCTTATAAATGAGCCATCGGATGCTGGAAGCAAAGAGGAATCTGTACAAACCAATATTAATCCCTTTAATTGTGATCTCTGTGGTAAGCCGTTTAAACGGAAAGAACATCTCTATCAGCATCGAAAATTACACACCGGCGAACGGCCATATGTGTGTACAACATGTGCAAAAGCATTCAGTCGTAAGGAACACTTGGTTAGACATTCGGTATGCCATACCGGACAAAAGATGCATGAATGTGAAGTGTGTGGTAAAAGCTTTTCGCGCAAAGATAATCTATATAAACATCGGAAAACGCACGGTGTGTCTGGTCCTTATATTTGCGAGACTTGTGGAAAATCATTTGTGGTGAAACATTATTACGTGATGCATATAAGTACTCATGCAGAAACTGACCCGGATGATATAAATTGCCCCGATCCATTGCCGTACAAATGTGACATATGTCATAAAGCATTTTCCGTAAAACAATATCTCATTACGCATAAAATTAGACACAGATCAAAGAATAATACTAGCGCCATGCCAAACAATTTAAATCAACATCCGCAGCAAACAAATGCTACGAATAATGTGAACGTAGTAACTAATAATGTCGCCAATGCTGAGAACTTAAATAACAATAATGGACAATCTAACAACGAGTCGACTGTCGAAATGCAAAGCGTTATAGAACGTAATGAGCAAGCTAATGGGTCGTTCGCTAACAGTCAGTATCATACTAATATACAAGAGTATCAATGAGAAAAGGGGAAGCGTGTCTATTATGTTCTCTTGCCAAATGGTAATAATCATAAGATTGTGGTTGTATAGACAAGAGAAATGATAAGACACGCCATGTTATTTTCTTATATGGTTTTGCTCCTAATTGGATGGTTTTTGTACTTTAATATTGCAGGAAAGATAATCAAAATACAACTATCCTGGACAAATTAGATATTTTGATGTATACACATCGGACAAAAAGTAGACTTATTGAATGGCTTAAGAGCTCACCGAATACGATGTTGTAAATATCAGAAATGGAGTATGTTACATATAGAATGATTCTTAATTGCAGGATAATACTTCTTTCAATAGGCGAAGCTTTTGAAGTGTTCACGTGCAATTAAAGAGCATCCTGCTCTTTTGCCAATAAAAAAACATTATCTGTATGTGAATGCATGCCGTAGTTTCGGAATGGATGCTCACTTGTATTCCACATTTGAAAAATATGCTGCTAACATATGTATGATCTGTCATAAAGGTAATGAGATTGATCTTCAAAGAGGCAATGTGCCAAAGTTGAATATCAAAATTACAATGCAATGAAATGAAGTACGATTTAGATCGCAAATAATTGTGAAATTATTTGTGAATTGTAAAATTCGCGAATATAGACCAATGTAATTTTTTTTAGTGTAAAATATCTTGATACATATTGGTCTCATCCTTGTTCATCATCTTCGTGACAGACTACGTATTTATGGAAATACAGTCAAGATTGTTTCAGTTATTGACCAAAACGATCTCGTTGATATACTATTATCGATATAATAGACAAATTTATATGAAATTATGAAAAACATGAATAACATCCAACAACACTATTACAACACTTAAGTTTCCAGTTCTCTCAATCGAACAATATGTTTGCCATGTTTTTATAAAAGCCGTTAGTTAGAATAGCTTTATATGAAGCCTACATTTGTTCAGTCAATAATTGAAACAATCTGTGGCTACTTTGAGAAGACGTTCTAGAAACATATGATTTGTATGTATACTTAGGCTACAGAACAAAAACTAAGACCAAAGAAATCTATATATTATGTATAAAATGGATAAATAATTATGAAAAATAGAGATATATAGATAAGGGAGGGGGATGGGACCGGAGGTTTGCTAACTTGGCTAACTGTTGTGATTCGAGAAATTAGAGAGATATATATATATATATATATATATATATATATATGTATATATATATATATATATATACCGTGTAATATATTATTAATCTACAAAACAGTTTTTAATTTGCAGTTATCGATTATTAAAGAAGTGTGCCATAGCATGGTCTCTGGAAATGAAAAAAGTATATGTATAAATATATGTATAGTTACATAAATACATATGATTCATTAGATTTTTAGTATGCTACTGACCAAAAGCAAAGAGAAATTGTGCTAATTATTGCATTTCTCCAATCGTACTCGCTTATATGTTATGTAATTATATTATGGTTAAGTAATATCTCTTACCTTAATTTATATCTCTGAAATAAACATTTATTTAGCAAATAAGATTATACATAGGGGGCATGTATGGTCTTTATGTGAGAGAGTCATATACATATATATATATTATGTAATTTTTAGATTTGGATACTTTCTCTATACAAGCGAAAATTTTAAATATTTGATATTTAATAGTTATTTTAGTATTATATTTATACATGTGTAACGCGAAATGTTCTTCAGAAGTCCACAGGCCCATATTCACATATCCACATTTGGCAATACGTGTCCGACAAAAAGATCACATTAAATGTTATAATAAGTTAAGAATTGTATGGATATATTTATAATGTGTGGAATGTGGAATGTGAATGTGCGCCTATTTCTAAATTATTGTCATCGAGCGATAAGGTCTAGGTATTAAACATTAATTACTTCTACATTTAGCATTACAGTATAACAATGAAGAATGTATTTTATATAGGATCTGAAAAGATCGATTTTATTGTGAATTTTGTTAGTAAAAAAGAATAATTCTTCAATGAGTCATGTTTAGGATTAATAGATTTGTGTACAAAGCTGAGTTAGTATCTTTATATTATTGAATTTTTCTTTCCTTTGAGTATATATGATTTGTTAATATTTCTAATTCAAAGGATTTCTTTTGTAGCAACTGTACATTTTAACAAACGAGTACCGAACTTTAAAGATCTTCAACAGTACAAAGAATTAATTTTGTTTAGTGCTTAGGTATTTTGTTGTAATGCAGTTTTTGTACATATTGAAACAGAAGTGATGAGTTTAAGACTGTATCTCTATATCACCAGATTTAGGTGTGTGTTGGAAATATATAGATCTATAATGGTGTATATATATATATATATAATATTGATCCAGTATATAAACAAGAAAATTGTTTAATATACTGTTTCTAACATGATGATATTTTCTGCAGAGCATGAAAATGTCTGAATTGATTTTAAACACAGAACGAATCAGAAATCGTATCCAAAGACAACAATTGTATTAGTTTGAACAGAGGAATTATTTTAGATAAGTTGTGCTTATTACGTCAAGTACACATAGCCCATTCATTGACTAAAGACTCAATTGTAAACTCAAATATAAATTTTTATCAACAGCCCCCTGCCTTGTATCAGTATAATAAAAGAATGCAATTTTTCTTAAGAATATGATAATGTCATTGTTTTAGAATATTGAACAATATGTTATACAGCAAGGTATTTTATTTTATAATATATAAACACAAATCCCTATTCTCCCAAATCTCTATTTTCCTAGAATTAAAGCTAAAAACTTGCAAAAATTTAAATTTATTAATTTTGTCAGAATTTTTCGTTCTCACAAATGCTATGTTTTACTATTTATTTTCGTACTGTTTCATATTTGAAAGTCGGAAGTGGTTATTAATATGTCTGCTCTTCGATTATCAGGATATCTCGATTGATCCAGTCTCGTAGCATCGCTGGTCTCGGTAGATTCAGTCTATTGGTCCTTTTGAACAAAATACAGCAAGAAGCGATGTGGTATCCAATCAACCTCGCGCTCTCACGGAAAAACGGCAAGTCGATTGAAAACTGTACGGTTTCTCCCCACGTCTCATGTGCAGGAGCTTTATAAGCAGCGATATCCAGACGCGATATTCGATCCGGAAGTACCTAACTTCAGATGCGATGATATATACGGGACGAGTGTACAAAGTCAAAAGAATTGACTTTGACGGGGACGCTTTGTGCTAAACATAAATTTACGCATTGTTATCGAAGAAATAGTAAGGTAAGACTTGTAAAAATTCAAATACGACGCACGGAAATTCACTTGGCGAATGCATAATTTTGTGGTTATGTTTCCGCGTCAAATGCTACTCTTCATTTTCTCCATGATACCTCGTGTCAAACATTGGGTGAAATTCTTGCATGATTGTATCAAATTGTTTGTTTACAGTTGTGTTTACATAACAAGATCCTAGATCTGATGAAGAAAACATATCAGCAAGTTACAATTAATCACACACTTGATATTTGTTTACAACAATAAATCTACAAAATTTCACACATTTTTTTGATAATGATATCTTTTATTTACATGATAAAATATCATTCACCGCAAGTTCCTTTCTTTCAATATGAATACATAATTTACTATATGCAAATAAGACCAGTTGAATATGTACAAAAAACAGGTTAGCACAAAAATAATTTCTTCCTCATGCAGAAAACTGAAAAACCCAGAAGTTTCCATCATCTGTGCATATGGTTGGTAGAAATTTTCTCACTATCTCTAGATTTCAGGCAAAGAAAGTGATTATTCAGCAGTCAAAATTAGACTGTGCAGTGTGGTGAATAAAGTTTCCTTTGTGCTCCAGTGTCTCTTTTGTTCCAAGTAGTTTTGGTTGACTTCAGCTTCAGTTTTGGTTTATATCAGCTTCATATGCAAATATGCAAAAGGATTTGCAATTTCTTCATGATGAGGAATCCTCAATTCGTACAAGCATCTGTCATATGTAAATAATACTCTTTATTTAAAAAAAATCAGTATGCTTGGAAGACATCAAGTTGTAAACAAATGATCAAGTTTAAAATTATTGTTTAAACTTTTGATACAAATATTTTATTATGCTATTAGCGTTTTACTCAGAAACAAAAGAATTAAATGATAACATTCTTTGTATATCATAGATCCTTTAAAGATATTTGTTTTTCTTTTTATTTATAGGTGCAAGAGGAAATTAAAAATGAAGCGAAGTAAGTCCCTTTCTCCGGAACCATCCAGCAGTGCAGATACAAAACGTGTGAAGCTTGAAGAAGCTGCAGAAATAAATGATGTGACATCCTGTCCACATATTCTTGATTTTTCGGATGATGTTTTACTCAATATACTGAAATATTTGCCTCCACAAGATCTCTTGGCAGTCAGCTTGTGAGTTACATTTATACCGTATTATGCTTTTCATATTGCTTCTCTCACTCTGCAATTAATTTCTCTCAATTGTACAGATGTTGTCAGAGATTGATACAAGTAGCACAGGACAGAACTCTATGGAGAAAAGTTGATTTTCGATCAAAGCCTGTGCTTTTGGAAGATTTAAAACCATATATGAAGTTCCTCCAACCTATGACAACAAGTTTGGCGATGCGTGGTAATTTATTTTCTGGCAAAAATTCAGCTCTTACACAAAATTTCTTTAATAAAATAAGAACACGATGCAATCAGCTCAAAGAACTGATCATTGAAGAGTATCACATCGATGGAGATAAGGTATTGCATTTTATATAATCTTTTTTATGTTTATATTTTTAAAATATTTTAATTAGATACATTAATGTTCAATTTTAACATCTATATTTGTTTTTTAAGATAATACTTGTTTAATTTACTGTAACATAATTTTTACAGATTCAAATAACAGACTTTCCACCTACCATTGAAAAGCTTTCGTTAGAAGGTTGCAAAATGAATTACTTACAGAGTACTAAGTCCTATTTCTTTAAAATGGATCTTCACATGCCTAACTTGACGGTAAATTGATATTTACAATTATATATTTTTCATATATATATATATATATAGTAACAAATTCTTTTCTCTATTGCTACAATTTTTATATTAATTTTTATCATAGTATTAGATATATGATGTCATTTCCAGTGTTTAATTTTGAGCAATTGCCAATGGTTTACACCACATTCCCTACTGGTTATCAGCAAAATACCAAAACTTAAGGAACTCAGGTTGAACTCGTGCCACCGCCTGGGCGAATGTCTTGCGTATGCAAGTCTAGCGACTAGATTTGGATTTAAAACGTTAGAGGTAGAATGTCTTCCTATTCATATATGCAATAAATGTAATCGTATCAGTGTTATATTTGAGAGATGTCAGAAAAACACTTTAAGATGCCATTTATATTTCTAGATTTTAGATTTACGAGATACAGCACTTGGTGATAGCGAAGTCGGTTGTTTCAGCAGTACCAAAACTTTAACGCACTTGTATCTAGAATGTCCTTATACATTAAGAAATGAGGAATCACCCGAAATTATACAACAGCGACAGCGACAATTACCTATCTACCAAGATGACATTTTGGCACAGGTATTTACTAATTACAAGTATTACTGGTATTTTTTCTTGAATTTTTGATATACCTAACAATTTAAATGTGTTCTGACTTAGTTTGTAGTCGAAGATGAAACATCTTTCGAAAACTACAATCTCCAACGATGTTTGATATCAGACAGAGCAATCTGTGCGCTTGGAAGCGATACCTGTGACAGAAGAGTGATAAATAACTATCCGCACGGAATGGTAATATTAGAAGAAGATAGACGAATATTTAATAATCCAAATCTTAAAACATTAGTCGTTAGGTGAGTCAATTGAGTGCAAAAAATTTCAAGAATCTTCTTTTTTTCAAGAAATTTCAAAAACCTTCAAGGATCTTAATAAACAGAGGATAATAACATATCTAAATCTTTTCTTTTCAGAAATTATCCGCGCGTGACGAATTCGAGTCTCATTCATTTAGCTATAAATGCACCGAGCTTGGAGTACTTGGATGTAACTGGTACTTCCGTGACGAAGGCTGGCATTTATTGCTTTAAAGCGCGAAAAGCCAACGTTCAGGTTGTTTCGTCCTTCGATGAGAAAGAAAAAATAAGGAAAACAGTTGAGCAAATTAGAAATTAATGAGTATTTATTATTACTTTCATTAAAGTGCATATGTTTGCAAATAAGGTTTACCTGACCGACTTTATCGATTAAGGTTTATTAATTTTTATCTGTTATTAGTGTTTAAATTAATTTGGAAATTGCAAAATGATCTTGATTGACGAAATATATAATTTGAGCAGAAATGTAAAATTATTTGATAAAAAGAGAAAGAGAGCATTTGCTTTTTTACAAAATTTTTCTGGTGGAATCATTAAAATATATGGATAAGAACATGTTAATTGTGAAATATTAATATTTTAATTTTTGCACGTAATTTTACAATAAGTAAACCGTAAAATGTAGGATATTTAATATACTTATGTATGATATGAGTGTAAGTTTGTGTAAATATTATTATGTATATGCTAAATTTTGCGTCATTTTCACTTAAGTTTTTGCATTGTTATACAACATGCAGACATGGATTGTGTATATTATGTACTAGATTCTTGTGGACAGAAAGAAAAAAGAAAGAGAACAGAGATATTTATACATGATAACGTGTAACCAGTATTTAAATAATCTTTTTAAATGCAAGAAAGAGAGTAGTATATTAGATGAATTTTTACATCTGCATATTACATTATTGTTGGATGAAAATTCAATATGCAAGTCCATAATTTGAAATTTTCATAAGATTGTTTTAATCTATATTTTTGCAAGTATAACTTTATTATAAACATCTCTTTTGAGTATGAAATAATAACTCTGTACAGCTAGGAATAACAGCGAATACTGTCAATCTACTTCTTCCTTGATAATTAATTTTTATCAAAGGCAAAAATAAGCTTTATAATAAAATGTCTTCAAAAAGAAGTTGGTTAATACACATATAAGGAAAAAAATATAACATTTGGTCTGTTCTTTTCAGCTGCACTGCTGAACTGGTGCAATAAGTTAAAGTGAGACCTTTTCTCACTCTAACTTATTGCACCAGTTCAGCAGTGCAGCTGAAAAGAACAGACCAATTGTTTCTTTTAACACAAATAAAATTTACTGTACAGAATATTTCATGCTTTAAGGATTTCATGATATATGATCATTAACATATTGTTTACTAAAGTATACTGGAATGCATATAAAAAAGTTCAGTATACCCAAATATATACAAATTTTAGTGGTATTGTTTACTAATTCTATATTACTCTATTACATTAATTGTGGAAAAAACATTTATTCTGTAATATGTATATTTGCTTATACATTTAATTTTTTTATGTTACGTTTTTAAGTAACTATATCCTTATTTCGTTAGAAAGGAACAAACCTGCAATGTGTACACATGCTATTAAAAATACCCCATATACACAAAGTTACATGTTCAATTATTATTAATAACAATAAGAAACAACTGCACAACGAGCTAATCTATCTGTCAATTGTTAGTTTTACAGATATTTAACTGACGTGTGATATCTTTAATGGTTAATCTATTAAAAATGTTCGCCTTCAGAAATATCTGCATTGCACAAAAGCATGTTTCACGTATATATACTGTAAGAATAGAAGTTAAATATTTTATTTAAGGCTCTGATACGCGCGAGATTTTTTAAGAAAATACTTAAATTGACTTATATTCAAGGGAGAAGGATCATTTCTGTATAAATGCATCAATCATGGAATTCGCAATTACTACCGTCATTTCACAGAGAAATGCAAAACTTCTAATATATTTTTTGAAATACCCGAGAGCAAATTAGAATACTGCGATATAAACGATAACATGCGTTTAATTGTCGAATATAAAGAATCATTTGTCACAACCATTGGATGTTATCTACCAGCAGGTGCAATGTTTGAAAAACCTGAGGAACGTGGTAGTGCATTATTTTTGGAGCATGTATTATTCCAAGTAAAATATTCACTTACAAAAAATTTCATATTTGTAAGAATAATAATGCAAAAATCTTATACGTAATCGTACATGAAAAAATATAGTCTGTGTATACACATATAATTTTACTTATTTTTAAATTATATTAAAAAATATATATAGAAAAAAAATGTGAAAGAAAAATTATACAAGGATTTTTTATTACTAAATAAATTATAATAATAGCAAACAACTCAAAGAAATAAACAGCAAATTGAAGAAGAATTACAGGGAATCGGTGGAACAGTAACAGCAAATGCGATGCGAGATATGTTTGTATTTTATGGAACAGCACCTTCTTGTAATGCTAGCAAACTTGCAGAGCTATTTGTTGATGTTGCTATGAATGGTGTTATATGTATGTTATTATTTAAATGAAATTTATCTTGTTATATTATTTATTTCTTGCAAGATAAAATACAAGAAAACTGTTGTTTCAGGTGATAGTGACGTTAAATTAGCAAAATGTAGAATACTTAAGGAGCTCTCTAAAATAGGATCCAATCCAGAGCAAGTTGTAATGGATTATCTTCCAAATATTGCATATCAGGATACTATGCTCTCTACAAGTGTGTTTCCTGAGAGTCATATAATCAAGTAATCATGAAATATCTGTCATTAATTATAAATTTATGCTTATATATCTATTATTACTAATTATCATATATTATTATGTACAATATGTAAATCTCCTGGTTTAAGAACGTCACTAATTTCTATTTCTGATGTGTGCAGAGACTTTGAAGCAAAATATTTGATCAACTTTAGAAATTGTATGTTCAACCCATATTTTATGACTATGATCAGTTCTGGTGCAATTACTTTGAATGAATTACAAGAAATTATGTGTAAATACATTACTGAAAGCATACAGAAGTTAGAAACTTCTGCATGTAGTCGCAAACTAAAACCATCTTCAAACTTAAAGCAATTACGTTTTTCAGGTAAAAATATAATCTAATTAATAGATTATGTTATATATTATATGGCGCGCGCGTTAACAGGTGCTGAATTACGATTCAGAGATGATGATGACGAAGAATTAGGATATGTAGCTATAGGATTTGAAGGACCAACTTTTTCTGAACCTGAAAATCGCTATGCTTTTGAAGTAGCTAAAGAAATAATAGGCTCATGGGATATGACACATGGTAATTGAGATAAGTTATAATTATTTTACATTATTAATAAATAGAAAAGTGATATAAATGCTAGTACAATCCTTTTGCTTTAATTTGATTGCAGGTGGAGCAAATCATAATGCCCCATATCTTGCACACAGTGCATTCAATACGAACATGTGCCATTCATATAAATCATTTATCTTAGACTATGCATGCAATAGTATATGGGGTTGTTACTTTGTTTGCGATAAGCTAAAACTTGATGTATGTAATCATGATACATATACCTGATATAACTGAATTATCTTTATACAATTAGAATGGAAGAGAGAGTTATAATAATATATAAAATATTAATATAGGACATGGTTTCCATGTTGCTGCACGAATGGAGAAGACTGAACACGACAATCACCGACATGGAAGTACAACGAGCTGTAAACAAATGCATATTTCACGAACTAATGAAACTGAATGATCCAGTGAATCGTTTCCTCGATATATTCAATTGTCTCTACTTACGTGATTGTTACGAGCCCATGAGTGACAGACTTGCGAGATACAACGTAAGCTGATGGAATGTAACTAATGCACACAAGTCATAATAATTTTCTATTTAACATTCTTTGGGAGTATATACGTATATATGACGCAACAATTAACAAAATATATATTGCTCTCAAAGAATTAAATTATAACTCTTATCATTTCTAGGAGATTACAGCGAATACGATACGGAAAGTTGCTAATAAATACATATATGATCAGTCTCCTGCAGTCGTAGCACTTGGACGCATTGAAAATTTAACGGATTATTGTGCTATACAACGTGGCACGTACTCTTTTTGTTATTAACACATTTTGTCTAACACTTCTTTGATAAACGAGATTATTTTCTTGATAATGTAGGTGCATCGTTACAAATGATGATAATCTATCAAGAGAGAAAACTCTGTAATAAAAACTAAAAAATAAAGCGGCATTTCTAAATAGGAACCCCTCGAATAATGCTTCTCTACGAACAAAAATGTTGCTACATAGGACGATCTTCTATCTTTACAAAGCGACCTTTCCTATTGGATATCGAGAGCGTTTCCCAACTTATCGGAAACAAAAAATGTTGCAACTACGTTACTATTCGCGAATGTAGGATTTATCACTGAAATTTCTAGTGACAATCACAGTCATAGTATACAAATTACCTAGAATAAGATCCGTTTGGACTGCAAACGCTTTAGATCGCGCAGAAGAAAATTGTGGTTGGTCTAAATGACGCTTCGAAGCGTTCGCGATGTCAAATGGATCCTACTCCTAAACACAAGGCGTCCAGCGCCGAAATTACCTAGTATCGAAAGTACGAAACCGTTTACAACATCGACACGTCTCGAATCACCTTTATCAAGAGTCTCGTTGATCCGAGGGTCGCGGTTCGGCGCTCACGGACGGAAAGATTGCCGGCAATTTTTTTCTCCGTCGTTTCGCCGGCTGTCGATGAAAGTTATCGTTGGAGTCGCGGCGCGACAGCTAGAGGAAGAGAGTGACAAGACGGACATCAGGCTGGACGTGCGCGAATGCGTCCGCGAGAGATGCCGTCGTCGCATTGTCGCTCGAGGCTTCACGCGACGGCTCTGAGCAGACGAGAAACGGCGAGACGCTTGCATTCGCACTCGTGCCCGCTCCGTCGACGTCGCCCGTGTGCTCCCGCGTTGAATCCACCGCCGCGACAACAACGGCAACAACAACAACAACGACCTCGTGATCGTGACCGTGCGACAAAACCGCCACCGGATCCCGCGTTCACCGTGGCCGCCGCAGTGGACTTGGGTTTCGCGGACTAACCTAGCCACGGCTCTCTCTCTCCCAGGGTGAGCCGCGGCACAGTCGCTATGACAAAAGGTGGCATCACTGGGGACGTGTTGGAAGCACAGACGATGCAGCGCTCATTGATATGACGCCATTTTACTAACCTTTCCCGTGCAGCACGCACCGCGACCAGATCCGCTCGAAGGCGCCGAAATACTCTGCGTTCACGTATCGTTACAGTGCATGCGGCTGATCGCGCCGCGACACGTGTGAGGCTTCACGTCCTGCGAAAAGTAAGTGCCCGTGATAACGTCCACAGGCCGGAGACTCGAGCAGAGTTCTCGCGCGGAACGCGCTCTCCTCGAGTCATCCTTGCGCGCGACGAATGCTTCCGCCGTCCGTAGTCTGAGCACGCTCTCGCCATTGTCACATTGTTCGCGCGTTTCCACGATCTTCCTCCGAAACTCCGTCGTCGAGCTACGCTGCGAGGAGCTCGTTACCGAGTGTGATCGTTTCGGGAAAGTGTGGTTCGCCGTGTGAACATCGAACGGCTCGTCGTCGCGCATCAGCCTCGGGGTTCTCGTCCGTATGCCTTTGTCGTCGTCTGCCGTTGCGTCCCGCGTTTCGTCACATCGTGAAACTGCGGAACTGCGGTCGGCTTTGGATTCTTTCGGACGTAACAAGTGGCCGTGAGTTTGAGCTCTTTTTCACGCGAGTGAGGATTCCGAGAATAGAGCCGCGACGAGAGGACTCACCGCCACGGCGGGCCATCTACGCATCGTGTGCGCCCGCTTCGACGTAATCGCATTTGCGAAATCAACGGTCTCGGTATCAGTGTTTACAACGTGCGATTTTTAACGTGATTGCGTACCAGTGATATTTTTGTCCCTATTGAAATGTTGTTTTTCACAATATTCTAGAAAATTTCGACGGTTTCGAATTTCACATAACATTATTTGTAGCTAACTAAATTGTTCTCTGTAATTGGTTAGCATTTGTCGTGCGCGCATTTTCGTATTCAGATATAAAATTATAATTGAGTGCTTTCCATTTAGTACTACAATCATATCATTTTGTTTTTATTCTATATTTAGGGAGAAATAAAGATGAGATGATACTCATATCACTAAATGGAAAGCATTCATTAATAAGTGTTTATACATGAGTAAGTGTTATTACATGAGTAAATTCTTTTTGTAACATATATATATATATATATATATGTATATATATATATATATATATATATATATGTGTGTGTGTGTATATCATATATGCATATCATATATGAGTATCTGGTATGTGAATAACTTATATCTTGTATTTCAGGTAACTAGCTGCTACAGTCTGTACTATTATGGAAGATGAGGATGGGGAAAGCAGAAGCACAGATGTGTGGCCTATGGGGGAGCGAGTCCTCCACGATCCTGCATTGGGCAATTCGCTGAAACATTCCAATGACGAAGAGGCATATATTGATGTGATCACAGATGACAAGCAGTTGCAGAAGCAATACAATCCAATTGTAACAAAAGACTTACCGGCCAGAGAAACCGTTGCAGGGCCAAGACTCACATTCAAAGGTTTCAAGAAACGCATCTTAGCTGAGGCACAGGAACGTCACAGCGCCGCGCTGAGGAACAGCGCGCTGGAACAGCAGCAATTGACGCGTTCTAATGCGTCAACGAAGAGCGGCGGTAAGGAGAGGCGGGCAGAGGGGAAGCATAAGATAACGGAGTACCTGGGTCTTCAGCCGTCGTCCAGGCACAAGTGCTCCAAGTGCCACGGCTGGCTGAACTGCGGTCCTAATTCGAAGCAGAATCTCTGCGTGTGTAATCCCAGCATGACGCCGATGCCCAGCACCTCGGAGTCGGCGTCGTTGCCACACGCTTCCAGCAACTTCAAAATCACGCGAAAGGTGTACTTGTGCGCGGCGTGTGGTACCTACTTCGAGAACTGGAATCTGTTTTTACACATGAGGGACATACATAAGCGTCACATATGTCTCTTCTGCCTGGGTATGTTCGGCCAGGCGGAGAGGCTGCTGCACCATTTGTCGAAGAAGCACAACGTTCCGGATCTGGAGTTCGGTTCGGAGGATGAGTTCTACAGCGTCTTCAAGGGTTCGTGTTACTTGGTGTGCTGCGGCTGCGAGAGGATTTTCTCGGAGACTGACAATTTCTTTGATCACCTTTGTTCACCGACATTTAAGCAAGATGCGACCGCCGGCATGTCGGTGTGCACGCTGTGCAGGCAGACCGGCACGCACGCGAGCACTTGTAATTTCGCGTTGTCATCGGACACAGACAGAGAGTCGTATACTTCCACTACACCGGTGCCGGTCGCCGCTGATTCGACGCACGTGGACGACTCGTCGGCGACGGCTGTGCCATCACCGGAGAAAATCGTGAATCTCGGAGGCAAAGGACTGCCGAGAAAAATGGTGAAGAACAACAGAAGCAAGCACGGGCCGGAAGTTACCCAGAATTTACAGCAACCCAGGTCGAACTCATTAGCAAGAAAGCTCGGCGCGAGAGGCAGATGCAACAAGAATCAACTGCATTTTGAATCACCTGACGCTCCAAAAGAGCTCGTAAACAATTTATCCAGAGACACGGTCTCCGAGACAATAATGGAGGTATCCAGGTACACGGGTGACTCGTCCGACGAGAACGACGAGAACGACGAGCAGGCGATGAATAAAGACGTTAGTAAGGACAAAGGATTGGAGGAGAAGTCGCCGGCGCACAATCATCAGCTCGATTGCAACGAGCCTTACGACAGCGTGACGGAGACCATCATGGAAGTGTCCCGCTATACGAGCGACACCGAGGAAGACGATGTTACCGAGAAGATGGATCCTCCAACGTGTATCCCAGATATGCATTCGTTACACGCGACTGAGAAAACGATCAACGAGGAGATGGACATTAGCGACAAAAGCGACATCGATCCGATAAATCAGTCGGGCAGTCCGAGAGCGCCCAGTCCGACACGGTGTGAATTCGAAGAGACCGTGACGGCGGATAAAAAGGCGAACGCTACTCCGTATGAGCTCGGGACGGAGTCCGAATTTCAGCCGTACGATAGCCCGCAAAACCCACAAAGTCGTAGTCCCGTTAATCGATCGTTATTCAGTCCTCGACACGAGTCACACATGTCGGACTCGCAGCCTAAAGAAAGTTTAGACGATTTTCGCAAGGAGGAAGGAGAAGAAATAGAGAGGCCCATGGCGACGAACGCCGGTGAATCTCAGCTGTCAGTGTCGTTCAACGCCGTCCCTTCTTCTGACAGGAGTCTGGTTATTAAAATATGCACCAACAGGAACTCGCAATTCAGTGTCACTAGCGCCGCTGCTGTGGGTCGAGGCTCCGAGGAGAACAATAATGCAGAAGGCTCCACTACATCAAAGGAAAAACTCGCAAACGGCTCGGACAGGCAGAAGGACATCGTTGGCGATGATCAAGCGAACGATCTGGACGACAGCGATTCCGACAGCGATAAATTAGCGGTAGTAGACAGCAATCCGGAAGAGGACGAGGCGGAGGACGGCGAGGAAGGAGAAGAGGCCGAAGAGGTCGAAGAGGCCGAAGAGGCCGAAGAAATCGAGGAAACCGAAGACAAACGCAACGATACGATACGAATCGAGAGCGAAGAACACGGAGGAGGAATCGGTACCGGGACATTCGACGTGGTGGAGACTGACGTGCTGAGCGGTGACGCGACAGAGAAGCTCGACAATAACAGAACAGAAGAGACGGCAGACGGTGCACAGAAAACGACGAATGATCACGAGGCGAAGGACCACTTGAGCAGCGACGATGGCATCACGTTAGCCGGAGAGGACGCACTCTGCATGGACCTGAATGTCGAAGGTACTCTCGATAGCATAGAGTTGGACGAGCTACTGAAGCGCTGCATAGAAGCGGCTAGTCCGATCTGTGTATACTGCAACCACGCGCGGTGTATAGCCGTGAACGGCAAGCAGCTGGGTTTGCATATGTTGGCGGAGCACAAGTTTCAGCCGCAGCATCCCGCGATAATCATTCACGCGGAGCAGTTCACCACGCGGGTGAAGCGATCCTTGGACGAGCTTGAACCACGTTATTTCAACCTGAACACGTACGACAGCGAAAAGGGCACGTACAATGTACCGCAGGTGAGGATGTACGAGTGTTTTCATTGTAGATTTCATTCGGCAGTTCACAAGGAGCTCTATCTGCACAACCGGAAGATGCATCAGAAGACCATCTTGATCTGCATCATGTGCAAGTCAACTTTCTACAGTTACAGCGAGCTGCTGTGTCATCTATGTCCAGGTGTTTACTCACCCAACATGAATCTCCGTTATCGATGCTGTTTGTGTTCAGTGAACAGTCTGCCGTCGTCGTTCCGGCTGATGGTGCACTTACGTAAGCAGCATCACGCTTGCGACGTCTGCCTGGAGTCCACCGGCAATCAACAGCGTCTCTCGAACCATGTGTGGAAGCACAAACTCCATCACCTGTGCTACCGTTGCGGCATCGCGTACCGCAATAAGCCGGACATCACGAAGCACTTGTTCTGGAAGCACGGCACCGAGAGTGTTCTCTGCAGGAAGTGTGTGCAGAAGAAGTGGCCTCATATCTACCACTTCTGCATACCGCCTGCAGAGTTCAAGTGCGACGAGTGCGAGTGCAAGTTCAAGCGAGCGGTCGCCCTCAAGGTGCACAAGAGGCTACACTCCACGAATCTACCGTACGGCTGTGACGAGTGCGCGGAGCGTTTTATATCGCGCAAGCTCTTGGCCAAGCACCAAGCGAGTCACAGGGAACCAGAGCCGGAGGACGTCGACGTGAACGTTATAGACATGGATGATCATCTGCCGACAGACGGATTGGACGAAAAATCGGACAAAGAAAAAGCTCAACGGACGGGAACAACGGTAAACGAAGGTGTCGCCGCAGGAACCGCGGTGGAGAACGTGAAAGAGGCTGTGAAGAGGGTGGTAGACGTTTACGACTTACCACCACTCAATCTGTCATCCGAGAGTGACACGGACAACGATGAAGAAAAGGTTGCCACCGCCGAGAAATCGACCGAGAAGGAGAAAGTCGCGACGGAGGATGCGAAGACTGAGAAGAGCGGGGGGGAAACTATCGAAGAGGAGGCCACCGACGACAACGCTGCACTGGTCAACGACATCGTCGACGTGGAGCGGAACGAGGAGGAGAAGAAGCAAGAGGCGCGCATCATGGATGGTATATGGGACAATTTCAAGACGTACGCCGCGAGTCTAGAGATGAAAGAGTCCGGCCAGAGCTTCACGTTGAAAGAGAGTCCGCCCGAAGCCGATCCGGCGTACCTCAGGAGTATCGTTTTAGCTGACCACGACTACTGCGTCGTGTGGTCCGAAAATGGAGATCAAGCGGTGACTTCCAAAGAGGACGACGCAAAGGAGGAGCAGGATGAGTCCCGCAGGAGCCCATCGCCTAGCGGCAGTCCGAGTCACAACGCCAGTTGCGAGAGCGACGCGACCAAACGCGCCAAGCTGAAGACTCCCAAGAAAAAGAAGCGCAGCGGCAGCACGTCGTCCAGCGACTCGTCGAGCGACACGGACTCCAGCAGTTGTTCTTGTGGCACCAACTGCAGCTGTAGTAGCTCCTCGTCCGGCAGCTCGTCCAGTTCCAGCAGTAGTTCCGACTCCGACAGTTCGACGTCCGAGAGTTCACCCAGAAAGCAGTCCAGTCGGCGTGAACGCAGCAAAAAGGAGAAGGAGAGCACGAGGGAGAATAAGTCAGAGTCCGTCGAACCAGAGAACAAGGAAGAGGTTGCAATAGAGAACGGGGTCATAACGGTGGACGACGAAATGATAACAAACGAGCCGGTGTTACCGTTAATGCGGGAATCCGATCTAGAGACCGACGAGACCGTCACGGACGAGGACTTCTATGATGAACATCCGCAGCTACTCGCCAATACGTTACTGGCGGAGAAACGTAATCAATTGCTGCTATTGGCCACTGTCTCGACGTCAGTGGAACAACGGTCAACATTACTGAACAACGGAGTTCCAGAGGTGGCAGCTGAGACTACGACGTTAACCAAACCTCTTACGACCGTCGAAGATCGGCCACAGCAAAAGAAGAAAGCTAAGACGAAGAAACGACGGAAGGGCGAGAGAGGCAATAAACGCAACGCCACCGCCGCAGCCACCGCTACGAACACTGTGGAGTCGATCAAGCTTAACATTCCTAGAACGTACTACCAGAAGACCTCAGGCTTCGCTGCGTCGTCGCCCGCGGTAATGTCTTTGAATCCGAGCAGGTCCTCTACGCCAAATCTACCAGTGTGCAACGATCTTCACGGTGTCGCCAGTAGCGGCATGAACATTAACACGATGGAGATGTTGCAGACGCCAGCGGCTGGCACCATCACGATACCAATGAATTCGAATCAGAACGTGGGCAGCGGTTCGGAGGCGGAGAAGAGGTCCTCCAAGAGGAAACGTGTGCCGAAACGCTTCTACGGCGACTCGAGCGACGACGAGCCGCAAGAGAAGCAGCAAGCGACACACAAATGGGGACGGAAGACCGTCGAGACTATCATCCCGACTTTCGCGCCGCCGCCGCCGCCGATGCCAATGCCCGCACCGTTTCCGATGACGACTTCTATGCCAATGACGAATCCAAAATTCATGCCACCTTCGAGACTATCGTTTAGCGCTAAGATCACACAGCAAACGTACAGGTCTGGTCAGGTGGAAAGTCAGCAGCAAGCGTTACCGGTCACTTTGGCGTCTGCCACCGAGTCCGAGGGCGCCGCGGAGACTAGCAGTGAGAGCAGCGAGTCCGAGACGGAGGTGGACGACACGGTGAGCCAAAGGAGAGCCTACAACGATCTGCCGCCGGCTAACGAGACAACGCCGGCTGCTGAACGACCGGCCAAGATTTACTGTTATTGCCAGTGTCCATATGACGAAGTATCGGAGATGATAGCCTGCGATGGTGAGGACTGCCGTATCGAGTGGTTCCACTTTGAGTGTGTCGGTATAATGGTGCCACCCAAGGGCAAATGGTATTGCCCGGACTGTCGGAGGAAGCACAATATCACGCAGAACAATGACGAGTACTGCGATTGATAGTTTCGTTGGGCGCGAGCGAACGCCCACGCGAGTCGACGATCGCGGCGTCGGCGATGGTGTTGTTATTGGTGGTGGTGGTGGAGGTGGTGTTGGTGGTAGTGGTCGTGATCTTGGACCCATCCACCAGCCGCTCTGTGTTACCAAATTCGACCGATCGGAGTTGCTTTTTTAGGCATATTGCTAGCGAGTTGTTTCCCTTCTCAGTTTTTTCTTTCTTTTTCTGGTGAAGAGAGACGCTATACCGTTCCACCGTTGATATTTTTCTTAAGTCTGTCATGCGAGAGAGAACGAGAGAGAGAGAGAGAGAGAGAGAGAGAGAGAGAGAG